TTGGTGGAGTATCCTCAAGCGCTTGCTGTATTTGTTCGAGACGGGGTGACGGAGGCGGGTCCGAAAGTGACTCTGTGTCTGTCGTCGCTTTCGGTGGACTGTGAGGGGCGTTGCGCCTGGCGGCATACGTAACCTTGCGCCTCTTCGTTGATAGGGGAGCTGGTGAGATTGGAGCTACAAAAGCATCGTCATCATCTTCGAGACCACTGAGTCGCGGCATTTCAACTTCGTCCTCTGCTGCTGACTGCTGTGTTTCGGGAAGATTGTAGATATCATCAATAGAATGGATACGGTTGTCTCCCCGGATCACATCGCTTTCATTGCCTCTGGAGCTGACAGGTGCCAGCTTGTTTGACTCAGATCTAAAGCGCTCTTCTTGAGCGATGTGGGACGCCTCTGTGCTGTTGATGTCATGCGGTGCAGTGGTTCCGTCCTCCGCAACATCAGTAGGACCCTTGTCAGAAAAGAGGGAGGGCTGTGTCTCGTCGAGAGCATCAGTCTCTGGAACAGTATTCTGACGTCGCATGCTCGGTGGTTTGGGTGGCCTTTTCATCTCGTTATGCTGTGACGGGTAGCGGTCGCGGACGTCTTCCACAAGCTGACCTTGTTCGAACGTCTCTGGATCTCCACGTCCAGTCTCTGGATGCACTTTGCTGGGTTCGGTGACATCTAGTTCCTTATCCAAATCTTCACCGTGGTGCTCTATGGAAGCCTTGTGTTCGAAATCTTGTTCCGCAAGCGGTAGCTCGTCATCATCCTCCATGACTGTATCTTCGTCAAGGGTCGGTGTCGCAGTGTCCCGCTCAGCCACTCCCTCCGCGTACTCATCATAGGTGTGCTCGTCGTACTCCAGATCGTCTTCCTCGACTCGCTCATCGTCGGGTCTCAAGAGGGGAGGGCTGCTCGGTACGCGCTCTTCGCCGTCAGGAGTCTTATCTTCATCTGTACTAGACTTGGGTGGCATTGGAGGCATTGACGAAGAGATGACTTGACTTGTATACCCCGTCTTGGTAGCCATGGTAGTCTGATTGATGCTATATTGGTTCATCGATGGTGACGATGGGAAGCGCAGCGATTTTGGTCGTGGTACACTATCGAAGTCTGCAGTCGCATCTGGTTGCGAGTCCATGACAGCGACAGACTCCCTGCTGCTATGAGGTCGATTTATCTCCCGCAGATGCTGCTGCACTTCTGAGTTGTGTTGTTGTGATTCGCGTTGCAGCTGCGAGGAGGAAATTCCTTGCTGGGTGGAATTCCGTGACGGGTGACCTGAGGGAGTGCGATAGGGGTGCGAAGAAGTCTTAGGAACCTGCACACTATTGTCATTGCTATTGCGTCTCACGGTAGTCCGTGTGGCGTGAATCGCGTTCTGCGACGGATCGTTGGGGTATTGTTCGGTATTGTGCTCATTTACTCCATTCACCGCAATGGTTTGCGACGCCTCGTCCATTGTCTCGTCGTCGTCATCATCATCATCGTTATGGGACTCGCCGTGTACGCCACTTCTCCCACTCTTCGACTTGAGAGGCGATGGTAAACTGACGTCTGCCACGCCCCTCCTCCCGGATCGCGGTACTAATGGTGTGGGTACTGAGATGTGTGATAGGGAGCTAGCGGCCCGGCGGTGGGCATGCTCCTTTGCCTTTTGCGCCTTCACTTTCCTGCTAAGCTCTTGCCAGCTATCCTGCTCTATACTCATGCTGTGGTCGTCTCCGACAGAGTTCTTCCTCCTCTCTTGGGACTGCTTCACCGTGACATAATCGGCTCGTGGCTCGCTGGACGACCGCGCGATAGGATCTGATTTCGGAGTGTCGGGCTGTATGGCTTTGATAGGACTGGAGTAGGCGGGAATTGGACTGGAGTGTCGCAAGTGGCTGAAATTGGGCGAAGGGCGTGTGAATACGACATCCTCGGTGACACCGCCCACTGCAGGCGAGGTAGGCGCCTGGGTATTGTTGAAGGCTTGTGTGAGAGAGATATGCTGTAAGCCGCCATCACCTCCATTGCCAAACGCTGGAAAGAACATTGAGGGAGAGGCAGCGGTAGCGGGTGTGGTATTGATGTGCATAGCTGAGCTGGAGCTGCCCCTATTTCTATTTGCTAATGCCGGTGTTTGAAACTTGAGTGGGCTCGTGGGCGCCATGCTGTTCTGCGCATCTGCAGCTTCATCGGCATCGACTACGGTAGGGCTGGTGGGTGTCGGCATGTGCTCGTCTTGGCTGGATGCGGCCGTATCCATCTCGTCTGTAGGCAGGTCTTCGCCATTGTCGTCGTCCGAATGGTCAAGGAAGAGCGACTTGGGGGCGTTGAACTCTCTGCCCTCGCTTGTGTATATGCCACTCGTCCATGTCTTCAGCATCTGACTATCCGGCTGAGTGTCCCCCGGCGCGTCCATCATATTGAAACTCTGGTGCATCTTGAAAGCCCAGTTCTCTTCTTTTATGTTGCCAGTGGAAGTCGGCGCGCTGTGATGTTTGGGTAGGGCAGGTTTGACATGTTTTGCGGTCGCGGCGCGTCGTGGGGAAAGAGCGCGATTGAACGGGGAAAGCGCAACGGGCGGCAGGTGCAGAGAGGCGTGATCCGGGGAATGGCCCAGGGCCAAGGTGGAAGGAACGCGATTGCCCGAGTGATGGCTCTCGGTCGATGTGGTGAAGTGGAATGGCTTGTCGCTGCAGGCCCGTTGCCTGAGGGCCTGGGAGAGTTGGAATGGGTCCTTGGTGTGGCGTCAGTCAACCAACTCCAGCGATCGGCGACCGGGGTGCGACGCGCCATCCCGGACGCGACGGAGAAGACGGGTACTCACATCATAGAAAAGATCTCCAAGCACTGTGGGGGCTTGCGAGTCTTCCATTGCGAAAGCTCAATACCGGATGCACTTGGTCGCAAAATGCAGCACCCCGCTGTCCACACGTCTTACCTGCAATCAGCCGAGACGGTTACGCGCCAATTAACGCGTAGTCATGTGCCAGTCAGTGACCAAGCGCAGCGCTCCTTCTTTGCCGCTTGAGTGTGGGACGCCATGTTCATTCCGCACCCATACACTACGAACTGATGTATCCGCATTGCTTACCGACCTTTGCTGTGTATAGTGCCCTTTGAAAGACACTAACATACCTTGCGCTATTCACTAATGTCCGGCACATGGCCCACACAAGACTCCTGCATGCAACAGACAGAGTAGCCACAGCTTTTCATACAGATTCCCATAAACCACCCAGTCTAGCTGCCCTGAATGGTCAGAGGTGTCCTTGCCATGTCCTCTGGCAACGTGGTTCAAATTCATTCAGCTTAATTCACGGGCGAGGATATGCAAAGAAACAACTCGTGTCATCCAATTGACATAGACTTTGTACAGGTGTTACTCGACCTCCTCGCCATCCTGTCAAGATGTGCTCCACTCCAAATCTCACACATCACTCGTGTTCTAGTGTTCTTCTCCTTCTCCTTCTCCCTCCCTGACTTCATCCTCTATCTCTCCCGCATCTCCATCTCATGCCCTTTAGTCCTCTTCGTTCCCTCATTCCCTCAGTCGCTCCCACAGCAAATACTGCAATCTTATCCGAGGAAAGTGTAGTACAAGCTGAATGCGACGGTCAAGCCAACAGCGGTCCATCCAGTGCGGATAACCTGTTGGTTCTTGAAACCAATACCGACGTCCCAGGCCAGATGCCTCAAGCCGTTGAAGCTGTGGAAGAAGAAGGGGAAAGCGTAGAACGCCTTCAATCCGGCCTTCACAGCCGCTGGCCAAGCAGCGACAGTGGCTACCATTGACTGCGTCTCAAGGTGCCATCCGGTGTATGGGGCAATCAGGTAGGCGATACCGAAGAGGTAGAGGGAACCTGAGAGGGTAATGCCGGTGATTCGGTTGAGCGACGAGGCGTACCAGGTGATTTGGGGCTTGTAGATGGCCAGGTGGGGGGAGACGGGGCGGTTGACACGCTGTTTCGCGAGGATCTCGGCGGCTTCAGACTGCGAGGCGTGTTCCGTTGCTGCAAGTCTGTATTATGCATCGTCAGTCTCGCTTTGCGCATGCATGGCAGTCATCACTGGAGTGGTCGGGGAGAGCTTGATGCTATTATGACATACCTCCGCTGGACCATGCGTCCCGCAGGTTGTACCCTCAGACTGGGCGCGGCGGCCCGTCGCAGACCAAGCTGAAATACCCGCTGAGAAGCCATTGTGTAGTTTCTCCGATGCCAATCGACAGAGCTGTCAAGTGTCGTGTGGTGATGGTCGACCGTCTATGATGCGCAACGCCGCCAGCCCAAATCTTCCCGATTCCCGAGGTCCCCCTACGGCCCAATCAGCAGCTGAGCATTACGCGACTTAGTCATCCACTTTGCGGACAACCGATATTTTCTCGCGTGCGCGCTGCCAACTTCCTTTCCTTCACGAACCTCGATATCGCCGGCAATGAGCGCTTGCGTGCTGAACTGCGGGAATGACGGCTCATTTTGTCTGCTGGCGTTATGTCAGTGGATGGGGCTCAGGAGGGATCGGAGAGGGATTGCCTGTATTAATCGCTTGTGTTGACCAAGACTATGTCTGCACGAGTTTCATATCAAGGCTACATATTGTGTTTCTGCGCTGTGATTGTCGCTGTCTTACTGCATGATGCAGACCTGATGACATCGTTTGAGGCAAAGCTTGAAGATGATGCCCTACGACATCCTAGCCATGCTGCGTCGCGCTTTTTCTAGCCAACCCATCTTCCTGTCGCATGAGCTTGACGCGAAGTTTCTGACTAAGAAGCGCCGTCTTCATCTTCATCTTTTTGAATACCATGTCTTTCGATAAGCCAGATGTCAAGGCCTCAAGACATGCGATGACGGTTGGATCGAAGCAACGTTTCCACACTCGGTGATTGCAAATTTTCTTCCCCTTGAACCGCGTACCTGCTGCGCTTTTTGCAACCCTGCAGGCGGAACAACGTAAACTCTTTTATCTGTTCATCACATGTGCAGCGATAACGCCGGCACCCACATATATTGAAACCGCAAATGGCGCCTCTCAAACAGACCCTCAGCACTGACGCCGGGCTTCCAGCCGGCTCGTACATCTACAAGATCATTTCGACAGCGCCACGACAAGACCCTCTCACATACTCCCTGACCGATCAATTAGCTTCCATATCTTCAGACGACTCTTTGCGCTTTCATACTGCAGACCTGAGACCTGATGGCGTGATTACGAACGCAAATGAAAACATAACATGTTTGGAGAGAGCGAATGATACGCCTAGCAACATTGTCACAACAGCGGGAAGAGATGGATTAATAAGATTCTGGGATAAACGAAGCAAGCAAAAAGCTCTGCAAATCGAAAGCCGTGAGTGACAGTGACAACACTGGTCTGGCGAAGCATGAGGAATAGAAGGCTGACCGTCAGCGTAGCGCACAAACTCGTCTCAGCGTTGGTTTGCGATGCAGAAAGAAACTTCGTCGCTGCTGGCATCGAAAACCCCGAAGACGGTCCTAATAGCTCCCCAGTATACATTTGGTATCTCGATGTATCTCACTTTGATTAGTACCATATCCACTAACCCAATACTAGGGACCAGCGCAACCTATCAGCGCCTCTTCGTTCATACGTGGATTCCCACACTGACACCGTGACAAATCTCTCTTTGCATCCTTCTCACCCTACTCTGCTACTATCATCTAGCACGGATGGTCTAATCAACATCTTCGACACTGCTCAAGCTGACGAAGACGATGCTTTGTACCAAGTTGTCAACCATGGATCGGCTGTCGCACATGCAGGGTTCATGTATCCTGGCACCGACATTTACGCGATTGGCACGGATGAGACGATCAGTTTTTTCGCATTGCAGAGCCAGAAAGAGGAGGAAGAGGAGCCGGCGCCGAAAGTGTGGGGCGATGTTAGGGAAGGTTTGGGGTGTGAGTATGTGGTAGATCTGGGATGGGCTGGGCAACAAGCTTTTGTTGCCGCAGGGAAGCATAGGTACGTCGTTATCCGATTGCTAAAGCACCAAGACAGAGCTGACTTGTCGCAGCGAGAGTCTTCTCAACTTCATCCCTATTAGTAAGGGCACCAATGGGCCTCTGGACTATAGCTTCGATGTCGATAAGAGCATAACCTTTGCGGGTGCTCACGGCGAAGAAATCGTCCGCGATGCATTCACTGATGTTCACGTAGGCATATCCCCTTGGCTGAAATTCGATTCTTCATAGTTAACAACCTTTACAGACCAACACAACATACACATGCGGCGAAGACGGTCAAGTTCGGGCCTGGAAACCCTCAGAAGAAACCGGAACGAATTTTGATGAAGCGGCCGGATCGGCGAAGAAGAAGCGCAAGGAGAAGAAAGAGAAAGCAAGATTCAAGCCATACTAGGATCTGGTATGAGGTGACATTCTCGATCACTCGGACAAATGTATTATCTTCGACATGGACTATGCGAATCTTTCTGATCGCTCGGGCAGCAGCGAGTACGGGCATGATCATCGTGAGCCCAGAATTTGCGCAGGCACTGTCATCTGGCATGATGCCTTGAAAAACATTTCGAATACTACCACAAATTGGAAGATTCATAACATCATCATCAATGGTCGTTGGCGCCTCAAGATCATCAACCGGACGCAACTCGTGCGTGTCACCCAAAGCACAGAATGGTTGCTCAACAAGGGTGGCCTCAAACAAGAAGTTAAAGCTCATCAGTTGTTGTTTGGCAGTTTGCATAGCACCTTTTCATGCCATTTTGCTAGTCAGCGAACCCTAACCGCGGATGCTCTTGCTCACAGAATGAATCGTATTAACATGACTCATTTCTTCGTTACACACACGTCGCGCGAAGAGGCTCTCCTCTTTCGAGTCGCCTACAAGATGAATAGGAAGATTGACGGTCTCGACGCAACATCCGACACCACTGCGATCGTCAACGTAGTAGAAAGCCATAAAAGCTGTTTACTAAGTGTCTTAAGCCTCTCAGGTGAATTTTTCACAAAAATCCCTTCTCGCAGACGTTGTGCAATAGAGAAATGTTGTAAACATTGTGGAAGACGTGATCTCAAACCATTAAGGGTTGGATCGATACCACATTATCGATACGTTCGAGCTGAGAGAGGGCACAGAGGGAGAATACTATCTTCTTTAAAGGGTCACAGCTGGGCGATTGAGTTTGCAAGTGTCGATGGAACGGTACAGAGAACGATCGAAGGGTTGGAAAGCGGATGAGAGGCAGCATCACCGACTGCGTGAGATATTCGGTAGCGGAACTGAATTTGAGACTGTGGTACTAGACGAGTGAATCAGCGGGTCGCCCTAACAAAGGACTTTAAATAGCAGGAATCACGAGAAAACTCAGCACTGAACCTATTGGATGCGTAAAGTGTAGTACAGTGCAGCGCCAAGCATACATCGTCGGAGTAAGCCCTCGACAGAACCCTCGGTTCTCGCTCCCCCACCCACGACGGAAGCTAACGTTTCAGCCCAGCCACCCAAACAGGTACAGCATAACCGTTTCATCCCTCCATCCCCTACCATCATCAACCCGACGTCTCGCAAAGCGCCTAGAAGCATTGTTCCTGTATGATCTGCGTATCGTGATATGCCTCGCCACAAGGGCGCCTGAGCGCCAAGGTATCAATTCTCTTCATGCGCCAGTCTCCGCCAGGCTCAATGTAGGCTTGTGGCCGAGTTCTCAAGGCCGATGCAACCGATTGTATTGTTTGGTGTTTGTCTCGTGTGTTTTCTACCGGTGGGAGTTTTGCGCAGAATGAGAGGACGCGAGATGCAATACGGATGTTGCGGCCAACAAGGTAATGCGCCTGCATCGTGAGGTTTTTCTTGCCGAGGCAGCAAGCAGCCAGCTTCCTGAGGCTTTGTGTATAAGAGGTGCCTGGTGTCGCCTGAAGTAATAGCCTCATCAGCATCTTCAACTACAGTCTTCTCTACTACTCTCTACTTCGCTCTATTCAATTCTTTTCTTCCGCTGGTCGGTTCTTGGTATCAATAATCACTTAAGATAAACACTATTACCGAAACCTTCAAAACAACAAACAACAAAACAATCCAACCGCCAAAATGAAGTTCACCATCTCCGCCGTTGTTCTCGCTCTCTCTGCTTTCGCAGCTGCTATGCCTCAGGGCGCCAACGCCAACCGTCCCGTGCCTGAGGGCGCTTGCTGTGTCGCAAACACCAGCTTGAAGCAGGATGTCTGCACTGTCAACGGAGTTAGCGGTCGCTGTGTTCCCGACAGCATCAACAACTGTAAGTTTCCCATACATCCCGATCTACATCTAAGTCGCCCAAGCTAACCAATTTCATACAGGCGGCGCCCAATTGACCTGCATCGAGGACAACCGACTGAACTGCGACCCCAACACTCTGGAGAGGGGTCGTCCTCTCTGCCGCCGCATCCAGGGCGCGTAAACGACTAGTATTAGGTCTAGTGGTTGAAGGAAAAGTAAAAATGTACATATTATACAGATCAGTATGAACTGAAATAGACTTAGTGGTGGTAGGAGTAGCTGTAGTGCCCGGGTCCTGTAGTAGTATCGGCTATGTTGGACGACAATGAAGATGCTGTATCGCATTATCAACTTTTTTCTGTTTGTTGTTGTGATCCTGTGTTGTGGCAATTGTGGGTCTGGATAATTTGGAGAGGTATGATAGTCCATGTCCCATGTTATAACACCTGTGGACCTTCCATGACATGTTATGAGCTAGCATGAAGCCAAATTTAGTTCATGGTACAGTAGAATGATTGAACTTTGAGTCAATTTCCACCTCCGCGACTTGATAGAAGACATCTGAAACACACCGTCTCTCTAAACAAGACACATCTACAGGCCATATGTAGTTGCCATAGCCGGTCATCTGCTACATATATGCGATGAAGCTTGAGTAGGGCTGTAAGCCTGGACCTAAACACGAGGATAGTGATGTCGCCTTCGGGGTTGCTGAGGCCTGAGGTTTGTACGTGTCAGTAATCGGGGCTGTGCTTTGGGGTACGGTACGATTGACATGGCTTTGGTCGTGTTTCGTTGGAGGTTGCTTGAATGGTAACCGTGATGCCGTGGTTGTCGGCCGTACTTGGATACCCACCTAGGTAGCGTCGCGAGAGAGACCGAACGTGATTTACTGCTCCGCTAGAACATTGCACATCTTGGCGGTATCACGATCGTGCGTACTATTCGGGTAACCATATGTACACCGAATGGTGGATCAGTAGCGAATTCGCGAGCGTGCTGGCTTGGTGGGTGTTTATTCTTTTGACGTGTCGGATCCGCACTGTGGGCAACGCCGTCGATGATGATCGCTCCGCCGAAAAGCCGATATCCCCGCATCGAAAACAACAAATACTGTTGTAGAAATCGAAGAAATTGGGGAATTTAAGATGCCCGGTTGTCACGGCAAGGGCGAGAGCGGAGGATATCCACGCAGGGTTCTCCAGTAACGCCAGGGGCTACCGTGAATCGATATTGGGAAACACGAAGCTTGCTTCCAGTCTCTCACCGTTGCCAAGTTAATTCATTACTCACAAGGACGGCTTCCTTCTTACGACTGGCTCATGATTAACTGGTTGCGAAACACTGTTGACGCAGTGACTGGAACTGATAAAGATGACTTCGTACCCGATCCCAAAACAGCCACCCAGATGAAGTCGTGAATCAGATGCACAGCGACTTCGAGAAGCACTTTTCGGATGATAAAGGAAATCGGAGGCCTCTTCACCACAACGTTCGGCTTTGGCGCTTCCCCCCGCATGAGGTTGCGGTATTTCAAATTTCATCAGTGGAGAAATCCAAACCATCAACATCCGTCGTAAACCAGCCTTTCATATTCTCAGCGGAACTGTACACAGCGGATCGGACGAATTTACTAGCGAAATATGGTATTCCACAATTTTCCGTTTCTTGGTCCTCAGCGCAAACAGTAGCGCCAAACTCATCACCGCCGCAGCAATCAACAGCAGAGCAATCAATGCCGCAGAGATCACCGCCTTTCTCCATTAAAGCATCGGAACTACAATCTATGCCTGCTTATAAATCTATCATAACCCAGCTGTCTGTCCTATTTCGACCTGCAAAAAGGTAGCGTGCAGCATATTCGGGCGCGAAAGTTAAGTCGCCGTTATTAGAAACGAAGGGCATAATTAAGGAAAGCCTCGATCAGGTGATGTCTTCTAGAGACACCAAAGTAGGTAGTGCGCTGAGCAATGGTGGCTCAATCAACGGTCAGTCGCAACGCCTTGCGCCTATAGATACTTCTACGCTAGCGAAAGCCGATACTCAATCTCCTGCGACGCCTGACACAAATGAAGAGTTACATCAGTGGATTCGCAAAATGTACTTTGAAATCGGGTTTCATGAAGCCACGTGCAGTTTCATCGGCTGGCCGAAATTCGTCGACAAGGTCGTAGCGCAAGAGCCGGATCAAACGAAGCATACGCAACTCAGGCGAGCATTGGAATTGTAAGCAAGACTCAAATCTTTTTGGAGCTACCTCACTAACTAGCTTGAGGCTTCGTCCAGGATCAAAACACAAGAACAGTCTCCCTCAGGTGACAGATGTCCAAAAGTTGAAGGCCAGGGCTCGTCGTGAGCGATTACAGAATGCTAAAGGCCCAAAATCACGACCGACTGCGACAGACTTTCCAACACAGCAACTCACGACTTCAGCGCCTAGAACAATATCAGTGTCACCCCCGAGATCGAAAGATCTTGCGCCGCAAGTGTTGACATCGCAGGCGTCTTCTGCAACACAAGCGTTGGGATCGCATCTCTCGGCAACAAGATCAGTACCACCGCAGCCTACAGTTCCTTCACCCATCCAGGCTTCTTCCAAGACAGTACCTATAGCCAGAAGTCAATCCTCGGCGCCTTCGTCTGTTGCGTTGCTAACGGTCGTAAAACGCGATCGGCCAGAACTAGATTTAAGTGACATGGATGATCTCGTTCCAAACGCATATCGAACCAATAATCCCAAGGCGACTGTCAACGGAGTTGAGAACGCGCCGTTGTTATCGGGCCCTGTGGTCGTTCGACACGTGAATGATCTAGTTCCTCAATTCGGTTACATCGGCAATTACCCAGATGAAGCCGGACGAGGAGTCAGGGTTTTCCATAATACTAATGTTCCATTTTCCACGTTCATCTGCGGTGTTCAGGGAAGTGGCAAAAGCCATACTACAGCTTGCATGCTCGAAAATGCATTGATCCCGTCCAAACAGCTTGGCCGCTTGGAAGCACCTGCTTGTGCAATGGTGTTTAGCTACGGAAGTTGGAGCACCGGTGGATCAGGATTCAGTGTCAGCGAAGCTGTGCATTTGGCTCATGAGAAACGCGAGTTTCCCGGGCAGAAAGTACGAAGAATCACCGTTTTGGTCTCTGCTGACAATGGAGCAATTAGAAGCTGCTATGAAGATCCGATTCGCAACGTTCGTGTCGTTCCGTTCAAACTCAACGCAAGAGCTCTCGACATCACTGCCATGCGCGCATTGATGGGGGTCGGTGATAAGAGCCCTACACTTTACATGAGCCAGGTCGAGATGGTACTTAGAAAGATATCGTCTGCAAGCAAGGATGGATTACTTGACTACAACTTATTTATTAGGGAAGTGAAGAAGCTGGACCTGAGTAGGGAACAGAAGCAAGCCCTTGACCAACGTTTGACAATGCTTGAGTCGTTCCTCGATCGGGACGGTAAAGCGGCAGAACCGGAGTTTCTCCCAGGCGAGATGATTATCATGGATCTTTCTGATGCCTTCATGACATCTAGTACAGCCTGTGTTCTTTTCAAGCTAGGGCTGGACCGCTTCCTACAGTCACCCATCAAGAACAAGATGGTCGTGTTAGACGAGGCGCACAAGGTCTGTTTTCTTGAGGTTCAATCACAATACTCTTGCTGACACAAAATCAGTACATGCTTGATAGTCCTGGGTCGAAGTTTCTCACGGACAGTCTCGACAACATCATTCGTCTCCAACGGCACTGGGGTACCCGCGTCATCATCTCCACGCAGGAACCAACTGTCTCTACCGCACTCATTGCACTCTGCTCTGTCACCGTCATTCATCGCTTTACAAGTCCTACATGGTATGTCGCACTTAAAAAACACATCGGCCCCATGGAAAACGACAATACTCTCATGCAACAGATCGAAGGATTAAACACTGGAGAAGCGTTAGTATATGCTCCCAGCGCAGTGCTTGGGAGAAATGATGACGACAGCTTAGTAAAAGCTACGGGTCAGCTGCTCAAGATTACTATCCGGAAAAGGATAACACACGATGGTGGGGAATCGATTATGGCCATGTAACTAGCTGCATATAGTTTGCAATTGCACCAGTCTAGTTCAAACTTAACTTTGAGGCAGTCACACTGAGAAGCATGATTGATTGATTGATTGAAGCCGGAGAGCTCATTTTCGCCCACTTCTGGCTCTTGGCAAACTGGCGTATGCGAAGAAGAGTCTACGGCATGTTCTTGTTTGGCGCTCCTTGGCCCAACTTGAAGTAACCTGGGTGAAGCTTCTGGAACACCTGAGCAGGGTCGTACTTCTTGCTCACAGCGATCAGCTTCGCCACATTCGCCGATCCGTAACTTGCGAGAGGGTCCTCGAACTCGCTCGCGTAGTTCATATAGATGTAGTCGTTGTCCAAGTCCTTGCCCTTTGCATAAGCCTTGACATTTTTCATGACAGTCGAGAAGAACTTGAGAACAGTGGCATCATCCGAAGCCTTTTTCCACCAGGCACTCATGTTCATGACAAAGTATGGGCCCTTGCCGGCGTCGAGACCTAGCGCATTACCACCGTTCTTTTGCATACCTTTGAGTTGGCCTTCGGTGATAGCCTGGATAGAAATAAATGGCGAAAGACCTTCGACAGCTTGAATCTCAGGCAGAAGCGTGTAAAAGGTATCAACGAGGTAAGTGTAAAGCTCGCGGTCGACTTTGAGGGACACATCCCACATCGTTTGACGATTACCGAGGGCTTCCTCTGCTCTACCGCCGTTCATCTTCATGGTCATGTTGGCCAGCGTACCAAATGCTGTGTCGTCCATCACAGGAGAAAGAGCTCGGATCTCATCGAAAACAGGAGGATCAGCGACAGGTTGAGCATAGTGTGTTTGGACTATCGCAATCTTTCCAATGCTGGGAGTGAAACCAAAGGACTGTGTGTGGTTAGAACCTCGCCGATGCACACACCGAAAGTAGAGGATACGTACAACAATCTCTGCAGCATCTGTATCCTTAGAAGACCCAGTGACGGCGAAGTTGTAAAGAGCGTCAAGCACGCTGTTGAAATTGTTTTCCGTAAAGATGCGCTGGCCACCCCACATCTGGCCAAGCGGAAACGCATCGAGCTTGAAGTTGGTAACGATGCCAAAGTTTCCACCGCCGCCCCGAAGTGCCCAGTAAAGGTCTGGGAATGCCGCAGGGGTAGCGGTTACCACGAGGCCAGAGGCTGTGACAACTTCGTAGGCGGCAACGTTGTCACAGGCCCACCCCACCTTGTTGGAGAAGAAAGAAATACCACCACCCAATACAAGACCTGGAACACCAACAGGGGCCATCTAAAACAATGTTAGCAGAGCTCCATGATGCCATTCCTAGCTGGACTTACTCTGCCGCCAACGACTCCGAGGCCAAACTTCTCCAATTTATTGTAAACATCGACCCACAAGTTTCCAGGACCGACATTAGCATACTTTTTGTCATTCGAAGCCGCAACAGTGTTAAATCTCTTCATCGAAACGGCGATGCCACCTTCAAGGCTGGATGCACCAGCAAAGGCAGCATGGCCACCACCCTTGACAGCAAAGGGGCACTGCGTCAAACGAGATATCAAGACCAAAGATGACACTTCGACTGTGCTTGAAGGCTCAAAGATACATCTAGGATGCAATTCCCCCTGTTGCGCAGCCCAATATGTGCTAGTGAAGGTGTCATAGGTTGGGGTTTGCTCCGATAAAAGCTTTTCGCTACCGTATATGAGCTTTAAGGAAGAGCACTATCGATCTGTCAGTGCTTTTGGCATCATGTGAGGCTACTAAAGAGGTGACGCACAGCAATCGAGCAACCACCAAGGGATGTTCGTTCCACCAAGCCCGAAAGCTGAGGGATGGCGGAGACATTAACGCCGTTTGCGATCAAAGCTTTAGTCACGTTGAAGTTTGCGGGCTCGAAGACCCCTGTTTGAGCTGAAACGAATGCCACGAAGGCGCCAAGGGCAAGGAAGGATTTCATCCTGGGTTCGGTGGGAGAGAAGAAGAAACTTGGGCGTGATCCAAGACACTGGTTGTTATGGAGTGCAGGTTCGATCTAATTTATTCCACTACCTAGGTACGGTTGGTAGATCTGCGTCGGACAACGATTGGTGCGCTCCATCTGCAGCCCTTCATCCTTCTTTTCTTAGCAACCCGTCCCCGGCTGCAACCTACGACTCAGGAGCCATCGTACAGTAGTGTATGCAGTAGGGCTGCTACCGCAATATAAACACTGCAAGCGAGCTCGAAGGAATTCCTTTCTGGAGATGGCTCGCGTTCTTGTGTTGACTAAAGCTTGTCTCCCGCCACTACGTGCGGCGCCTCGAACCTCCTATGTGGTACCCCAGCCATTGGCACTGCCATATCTTTGAAAGCGGAAACACAAGTGCAAACGAGTTGCAGATTTTAGACTCATACCAACGGCAAGCACCTGTGGCTCGATGTAAGTGTAATGGACATACTGTGGATGAAGACGTGGTAGTGTTGAACCAACGACGGGTTGCCATGCAAATCAGGCCTCCTCAGGAAGACCCCAAGGCAATTCTACACACTCATGGACGTACCTACGCCGAGATAGCGGAGATCGACCCTGGATGCCAAGCCGCTAAGGAACTCATACTGGTTGCGCGGGGGAATTTCCTACCATGTCCCCACCCATGCCGACAGCGAGTGCGGACCGTTGTACTTACGTCCGTTTGCCTCCCCGTACTTTCTTCGAGCATAGTTTGTACATCAATGTATAGTTTTTGTAAACATTCTTTGCGCTGGCCTTGCATTCATGGCTCATTTGCCACATATGCTCTTTACGTCCCGAATAGGGTGAGGACTTTGTCAAACTCTAGTCATCTGCACCTACAAGGAACGTGTTCCTGCCTCACAGTGTGCAGGGGCGCTGTCCCGCTGTGCCGTTCCGAACACTGGTGGCCGAGTGGCCATTAGGATGCATGCCGCGAATCCCAAAGGCACGGTTGCAACGTCCCTCATCGGGTGCACTTTCCGTGAGTTCATCAGGATGATAATCTGCAATGACATAGTCAATTCGGTCCTGGCAGCTTACTCCAATCCGTTGCGCTGCATAGTTAGCATGACAGCCGATCGGGAGGCGTTTAGTCGACTCTAAGCAGTCATCCACTTGCATCGCCTCCCGTTGTTGCACGATTGGTAGAAATTGGCATGTTCCAGTCCGCCCGCTGAACGTGGGATGAAGGATTGAGCCTCACTCATTTTTCTTATCAGTCAGACGTCCGCTAATACGCCCGTTGTTGATCTTTCGATCTTGCCAAGCGAGAAGACATGCAATCCTTCTTCTCAGATCACACTCCATTGTCAACGTACCCCATGGTTCTTTTTTCCATTGCCACCAATTATCGCTGGAGGGTTTTACAGGTGCTAGTCATGACGGAGTGGGTTTAGAAAAACAGCATTTTGAACGACAGGCACGGGTCGTGAAGACCGTTGTACGAATGGAAGCTGCTTACGAGGAACGTCTTCCTTGCCACGAGCTTCATTTATCTTGATACGCCAACGATTGTTTGTCTCTACTCGATAGTACGTTTCTCAAATCCTTCTGAGGCATCCAACTATCCATCATGTACGCAGCCTCGAAGGCGCCGGTTTCGAAGGATGTTCTTCTTCGTACAAATATTGTTATGCTCCTTCTGACATCTGGATTTGTTCTTACGCGCGCTGTGCTGCAGATCGTCAAACGAAAACCTTTTGAGTTGCCCGATTTCTTCGTCTACTTTGCTTTCTGCTTGTTTGTCGCACTATGGGCTTGTTACCATGTCGTTGCGCCATCGATATACAGAGCGTATGCAGTTCTGGAGGGAAAGACTGAACCGTACGCCACGATGAAGGACGATGCTATAGCGATGTTGAAGTTCCTTGTTGCTGGCCAAATGTGCTTCTACACACTTCTCATTTCGGTCAAAATGTCGTTGATGACGCTGTACCGCAAGCTGCTCGCCGGACTGCCGAGGATCTACAGAAATATATGGTGGAGCATAGTCGCCTTTTGCGTGCTGGTAAGTACTAAAAGCCAAACCTTCTATCACAGTCACTGAATGGAGCTAAAGAACATCTAGGCGTGGGTTGGTAGCATCGTTAGCACTCTCACTACATGTGACGATCTCAACGCCGAGTTCAGAGAGGGCCAATGCGGAGGAACTGCCAATGAAGACCAGAGGGTTATTTTCAGCCTCTACTTCGCGTACTCCGTTGATGTGGCAACTGATCTAGCTGGTAAGTTGAGCAATTGCAGAAGATCAGAGTAGTGTGCTCATATTTGTAGTCATGTTTCTGCCACTACGTCTCACATGGAATCTTCAGATGCCTCGCAAGCAAAAAATAGGCATCTTTGTATTGTTCGGTAGCGGTTTTATTTGCATCGCTTTTGCAACTATACGTTGCTTACAAGTTGGTGTGGATGGCGATGGAAAGGCTACGACGCCAGAACCTAAATGGTTGATGCTATGGACTATACTGGAATGCTCAATAGGTATAAACTCTCTCTTAACCCGTTGGATTGGGAATGCAACTGATTTACTTGGTAGCCATAATGATTGCCTGTTCACCCGCCTTCGCATCCTTCATTCGGAGGTACATGGATTCGACAAAGCCATCGTATAACGCTCAAGGCTATTTGAAACAAGGGACCGATGAGATCAGAATGAAGAGCATCGTCAGTTCCTCAGGCCGACGCAACCGCGACGCCGCGGACATATACTGGGAAGATGCACATAGTAGCCAGGAGGAACTTGCAAACAATGCCGGGCGTATCATGGTTAAGACGACAGTGCACCAGAACGACGAGATTACCAGCCACAATTCCAAACATGGGGTAACCAGCCAGTCTTAGACATTGGAATCGTCTAGCGAAGGCAGGAAAGTAAACAGTACTCTTGTGCAATATTGTCGAGGTTGATAGGTCAATATATACACAGCTCTTAAGCTTGTATCACCCATATATACAAGTATCAATCCAAAAGGCTTGTTCAAAAGACAGGGAGCGAACCGGACCCTTGTATTTGCGGCAGAAGGGAAATCGTCATCAAAGAGACCGTTTTGATAGATGAATAGACTCCCTTTGGATTTTGTCTTCCAGCATAGAGACAGCTATCTCTCTTAATTATCACTGAAGATTGTTGAACATGTGAAATGGCTTAGCTGTTAAACCAATCTACGCCCCTTACCATCTTGTCGCATATATAGCCAGTGACAAGTGCATACGTTCCCTTATGCAGGATGTCGATGACCTGCTCGTTGATCGGCCATGTCCAAGGAGCCGCTGACACATTCGCGGTAGTCTCCATCAATTGATCCAGCATGATGCGAAGACCCGTATGCATAAAGACAGCAACCGGTCCGATGACACCGTAGTAAGACATGACTGCTCGGAATGGTCCAGCAAGCATTCCCATGCCAAAATGATGTGCATGGTTCAACAGGAAAGTGTGACGCTTGTAGAATTCCGGTGAGACGCCTAGATGGTTGCCCATTGTTCGTGCGGGTACGTAGGAATCCGGGCGACCAGTGAAGAACTGCTCGATTTTGTTCGACCCAGACATGCTAATAATAATTCGTCAGTCGTAGGGTAATCACCAGAGCACCATTGACTAACACTAAGGCTCCTACAAACCCGGCACCAACTCCGATAGCGACGGCGCGACCGAACCCAACCTGCGGAAATTTGGGAAAGCTTGATTTTGCATCTGGATACGAGACTGTACCGGTGGGGGTGTGATACTGAGGCATGTTTGCTACACGTCCGTTGACGACAGGAAGGGAGGATACGTATCTGGTGTGGAGAAGTGAAGAAGTAGAGGCTTAAACTCTCGTTGCCGTTTGTTGTTAGCATTTGACGTTCGCGTTGCGACGCAGGATTGTCGTGGGTGACCAACGATTTTGCTCACTTTGACGTCACGCATCGTCAGATTTCCTGGCTGCGCGGAACCACGGCACTCACATTGGACCTCATGATACAGTAAAACCACCAACTAGACAGTCATGCGTTCCATTTTGAGATCTCTTGGTTCTCCATAGAGTGAACAATAGCCTACTGACCATATTAGCAACGCATACCAGTAGTGTCTACTAGGAAAGTCGATGCACTCTCTCTCAGCCAAAAGCAGCTCAAGGTGTTGATATGATGAGAATGGGGAGAAACGATGCGGTCTCGGTCGCAGACGCTTCAGTCTCAGTACAAAAGTGTACAGCCCACGACGTCTGAGTCTACATGTTCACTCGCACATCCTATCAGTTGAGTTATTCGCCTAATCTCCTGAGAAGAACCTGACTCACATTGAGATGAAGGGTTTTGGAGACAGAGATTGTAGGTCATAAAAAGTAACTGGGTTCACGTATTCATCTCCGTGCGCAGCAGTGCATTGGGGTGTCTTGATCTTGACTTTATATACGCTCTACTTTCTTTCATCCTATACACCATGGCCTTTGTTCAGTCGCAGTGCAGTGCTACTCACACGTCTTGACATCTCAGAGCTCAATGTTCATGACCATGGTGCTCATGCCCCGCACCCTTCTCCGCAAAGTCAATCTTCCACCCCCTAGTAATGAACACGCGCGGATCCCTTACTACCGCGTACGCGGACTTCTTGCCCTCGGCAGCATGGAACTCAAGCGGTACAGGTTTCCTCCTCTGCGTCTCCTTCTCGCCTTCCTGCATGACAACGACCTCAGCCTTGTTCTTCCAGGCCTTAGGCGCGCCAACAATGATGATCTTCTCCACGCGCACCTTCTCCATGGTTTTAAGGTATTTTTCGCACTTGACAGTACGCTTGTTGGAGTCGAGGTTGGAGGAAGTAAGGATCTGACGGGTGCCATCGAAGGAGAAGCGGCGGTGGATAAAGGCGCCCATTTCATAGTCGAAGGTCTCGCCGTCGTCCACGTACAGGGTTCCTGCAGCATTTCCGTCCTTGTCGAGTGCGACAACGAGGGTGAAGGGGTCGTATTTCATAAGACCAGAGGATCGACGAGGGCGGTCACGGCGTGGGATGACATGACCTCCCTGCATAAGCAATGGAATCTTCTCGAGGGGAGCTGGAACAGTGTGGTGTCCTGCACCGCTGTAAGTGGTGAAGTCGAAGTAGTCATAGTAGGGCTGGTCGTCCGCAATGTAGATAGAGACACTGTCGGCGCCCTCCTTGGTAACTGGCTTGGCAAGGAGACCGGTGGAACCAATGTAGAGCTGGTCGTCGACTTCAAAACCACGTTCATCGTCAGGGTGTACCCAGAAGTTGGGCCGGATAATGGGTGCGCCAGTAGTGTGAGCCTCGTGGAAAGCAGTGTACCAGGCAGGGAGGAGCTGGTATCGAAGACGCAGAGCCTGAGTAATAATCTCGGTGTAGGGAGAGCCGGCAACATATGGCTCACGGCGACGAGTGTCGATGTGAGCATGGCCGCGGAAGAAGGGGTAGTAAATGCCAGCTTGATACCAGCGAGTCAAAAGTTCCTTGCTCGGGTTACCGAAGAAGCCTCCAACGTCTGCGCCGCCGAAGGGGAAGCCAGAGATACCCTGGTTGAGCACCATAGGGATGGAAGCCTCGAGATGGGTCCACTCAGCCTGATTGTCGCCAGTCCACATGGCAGCAGTACGTTGACTGCCAGAGTAGAAGGCTCGAGTAAGAACGAAGGGGCGACGAACCTCTCCCTTCTTGCGCTCGGTGATGGCTTGGTAGGTCGCGTTGTGGAAGGTCATGCCGTTGATGTTGTGAACGTCGCGATGTTCCCAGTTACCATGGTGAAGGTTATCCTTGGGCATAGTTGTTTCAGGGCCGTTGAACACCGAGGGCTCGTTCATGTCGTTCCAGATGAAGGTGTTGTGGGCGGTACCCTTGAACTTGTCGTAGTTGAACAAGCCCTTCCACCAGTCGATGGCAGCTGGGTTAAAGCAGTCGATCCACATGGAAGAACCAGGCCAGCACCAACCCTCGTACTGGTTACCATCTTTGTTCTTGACAGCCAGGTCCTTCTTCTTCAGCTCGTCAATGATGGGGTAATCGTGAGTGTTCTTAATGTGAGGATCAATGATAGCAACAAGCTTCCTGTCGCGCTTGTCAAGCTGCTGCTGCATTGTGTCGGGATTGGTAAAGGTCAGAGGATCCCAGGTGAAGTACTTCTTCTCCTGTGTGTACTCAATGTCGAGCCAGATGACATCGTAAGGAATGTTGAACTTATCAAACCTCCTGTCAACGTCTTTGACATCCTCATCGGTAACGTAGTTCCATCGACACTGGTGGTAGGCGATAGCGAAAGACTGAGGCATGGCCGTGTAGCCAGTCAGCTCACCATACTGGCGAGTGAGATCCTGAGGAGTAGGTCCAAGAAAGACGAACACGTCCAGGAGACCACTCTCGGACATCCAGTGAGTCTCAGTATCGGTATGACCTTCAACACCAAGAGCGAGTGGGTTGGCGGTGTTCCTCTTCTTGGTGACGTCGATCCAAGTCTCTGCACCGTTGAGCCAAAAGACACCGACGGTGGAGCCTTTGCGGTGGGCTTGCATGAAAGGAATGGCGCCGTAGAGGGTCATGGGGCTGTCCATCTCGTACTCGAAGACGTCAGCGTTGTACAGTCGGTATGGCTCAGTGTAAGCATTGTCGCCGCCCCTGGATTTTGTTAGCTAAGAACCAAGATATGGACGGACGCTGCGCACCTAGTCGTTTTGAGAGACAGCCTTGTAGCATGCTCTGGGATACCAAAGACGTGTGCGTATCCGGGGAATGTGATGTCGAGCGCAACTGCCTCAGGGCCTCTCGGCTTGCTGTCCGTGTTTCCGCCGAAGCTCTCATCCCACCATGTGCTTTCGTCTTGGACAGGCTCTTCGATCTTCTTCTCTTCTTCCTTGGTTTCCTCCTCACCTTCCTTCTTTTCTTCTTGGGGCTTCTCAACCTTGGGTCGCCAGTGCTCGACGTTCATGTAGCCACGCTCGTTGAACTTGACTTGTGTCTCGCCGTCGCGTTGGAACTCGATACCGAAGGGTGCATGTCGGATGACGGCCTGGTGCTTGCTGCCCTTGCCGTAGACGACCTTGGTGTAGCCGTCTTCCGTGTCCGGGTTGAAGGCAGCGCCCTTGGACGGGTTCAGACCTCCAACAAGAGTCCATTGTGCTGCCTCATTGTATCTCTCCTTTCGCGCTTTGCTGTCGTGGCGGAGTGTGATGTCGCCCTTTGCCCTCTTCTCCTCGTCGAGAGTAACGCGTGCGACACCAGATTCGAGAAACGTGACGGTAAGCGGCAGACGAGCCTTCTCCTCGCCTTCCTTCAGTGTCTTGAGCACGACAGCATCCAATTGTCCGTCGTTGAATGTGATGGAGGCAGGGTCGAGAACATAGGGTGAGGTCCAGGAGCTCGTAGCGGAGACGTCATCGGCGAACTGGCGGTTGCGCTTGCAGAAGCCCGATTGACTGCATGTTTTGAAGTTCTCGTGCTTGACGGATACTATTGTCTTTTAGTAGCGTCCTTGCAGCTTCGCATGTAAAGAAGAGGAGACGTAGTCGTGAATTGGGGATATGGAGCAGTGAGCTTAGCTACATACCAGCTGGCACGAACAGACACGCCAATAACGCCAAAAAGAAGAAGACAGCCGTCCACCGGGGAGGCTGTTCCCGTAAAGTAATCATGACAGGCAGCTCTCTAGTAGACAGAAGCCAGCCCGGAATATCATCAATTCATCAATCAATCAGCCAACCCTCAGCGCTCGAGATGCCATGTGGACTTTGAAGCAGCGCCAAGGTCAGGGTCCAGCTCCATTGCACAAATCAGGCATAACTTTATGCAAGCTACCCCACTAGACAACAACGAGGGCAGCCCATACCCCACCCCTTCATAAAATTCCAGCTACACGTCCGCCCCTTCTTCCCGATTCCTCTCTTCAAGTCGTATAGACAAATCACTTTTACCAAGAAAAACTCAAAAGTCACTTCATCGCCAAAATGACTACCGAGCAGACGTATGTCCAATGCTCCGAACCCTCCGATTCCACGACGAGGGGCAGCTGAAGGGCGGTGAACGGTATACTGACAGATGAACAGCTTCATCGCTGTCAAGCCTGATGGTGTTCAGGTATGTACAACATTCACTTCTCCCAATGCCCACTCTCCAAGTTGTCAATTGCATCAATCGTTGCCATGAATCTCCATAATCATTCAGCTGTCACAATTGAAGCAGCAGACTTCTCAACAAAAAGCAAAAAGCACATATGCTAACAGATGCTCGACAGCGTGGCCTCATCGGTCCCATCATCACCCGCTTCGAGAACCGTGGCTTCAAGCTTGCGGGTATCAAGATGGTCACTCCCTCCAAGGAGCACCTCGAGAAGCACTACGCCGACTTGAGCGACAAGCCCTTCTTCCCCGGTCTAATTGCCTGTACGTGGCCCTCGCAAACGAGATATATCGAAACAAATCACTGACACTGTCTAGACATGGGCTCTGGCCCCGTCTGCGCCATGGTCTGGGAGGGCCGTGACGCCGTCAAGACCGGCCGCTCCATCCTCGGTGCCACCAACCCCCTCGCCTCCGCCCCCGGCACCATCCGTGGCGACTACGCCCTCGACGTTGGCCGCAACGTCTGCCACGGCTCCGACTCCGTTGAGAACGGCAAGAAGGAGATTGCTCTCTGGTTCAAGGACGGCGAGGTCCAGAGCTGGAAGTCCGCTCAGCACGACTGGGTTTACGAGAAGTAGACGTCTCATACAATTGAACCATGAGAGTGTGGAGTGTGCTTAGTAGCTGGACGTCTTTGTAACGGAAAGCAGGTCTACCGACCCGTCTAGTAGTTACGAATGCGTCTGGCGGAAGGCTGTCTCCGGCTTGAAGGTTTAGGTGTGGGCTATGAAGATACGATCACATGAAAAGGAATATGGTAGAAACCAATGAGACACATGAATGATCTCTATATTCGTTCTCGGGTGCAAGAGTGATGTCGCTCTGACAACACATGCAGCTATCGTCTGACCACTCCTCTGACAGCTCATACAATGCTTCGATATAACACAATATGCATGCGCAAATGCCCATGACAGTCCCTGTCCGAAGATATCCTTTGTCAACGCCGTGCAGCGGATGATAGCACTCATGCATCTCCATCTGCCGCCGCCTTCCCCTTATCCTTACTCCTCGTCTTGACCTTCCCCTCTTCTTTCTCCACCAGCTCGCTCTGTACCTTTGCTGCATACCATTTCCTCAACTTCTCCACCTCGCGCCATTCCCCTTCTCCTCTCTCGACAGCCGGCCCTTTAGTCTCCTCCCTCGCTCTTAACTCGCCAAACGCACCCCTCTTTGCGCCCCAGATGGGTCTGCCCCAGCGCCACACACACCACGCGCTTTCATCTGCACTGGTGAGTGTGGGATGCCTGTTCAACGACTTGACAGCAAATGCGCGAAGTAGAATTACATCGCCAACCTGTGCTTCTGGAAGTGCAATCTGATGAGCGCGGAAGATCTGTACTGTGGTTGTTTGAGGCCAAGAGCTAGCATCAGTGATTTGCAGGGTAGTGAACCAATGTTTCGGTCCCTTTTTGGCTTTTTCGCTTGGCGTGGTAGGAGACGTGACGAGCGCGATTACATCAGGATTGGCAGCCGAGTGAAATTGAGAGGAGCGGTTCAGGAAGTACAGGAGATCCTTGAGAGGGGTGTAGTAAGCTAGTGGCGTAGACAGGCCAACTGATGGTTCTCCGAGCGTGTCGTTGTCGGCATCGTCCGAGGATGCATCAATAAGTGTTGGAGATATGGCAGTAGTTTGGGGATTGAGTGACGCGGCAATAGCTTCTGTGTTGGCCACATTATCAGCTTCGAAGGAACGAAGACCTGCAGACGTGGTTTGTGTAAGCTGAGGTGTCAACAACATATCCTGTTCTTGGTGGTCGTTGAAACTGGGTTGCGAATCCATGGCTGTCTGTTGTGCTGCACTTGGAGTAATAGGCTTTTTGCTATGCTTTTTCGTTCGTTGATCGATGGTAGGAGATCCAGGTGGTGAACTGCGCACAAAGTCATCGACATCAACGGTGCCTTGGTTGTCTTCACCTTCACCGAATGAGATCTGCTCGTCCGCTTTCTGGCTGGCGTTTGGTGTTGCAAACTCATCGGACTCATACACTCTTCTCCTCGTTCTCCGCACATTGCGCGGACTGGGAGTTATGTTTTCCTGTGATCGTGCTTCGCGTCGTTGCATGCCTGGACTGCTATGCAACGGCTGAGTAGCATGTGAAGAGCCAGGTCGAGCAGGACTATTACTATGTAGCCCTGCAATCACTTGTGAGTCCGATTTCTTCCCTTTCGTCTTTCGGCTTGATCTTCTTAGCTCGGGCGCGGTTGCGGGTGGTGGCTTTGTGTCCTCTTCGTCTGCCCGAACATTGGTAGCATGATCGACAGCACGATCGACAGGGTCGCTGTGGTGCATGTGTCCCATATCATCGGAGGGGTGCACAATAGATATAGTGTGCTCAGATCGAACGCTTTCTTCTTCGGAATCTTTCACGAAAGCCACGTCAGAGTATCTGCCCTGTGATGCGCCTAACTCTTGCGACGGCTGGAAGCTGGAGACAGACTGATCATGGTCCTGGGTTTGTAAGGTTCCAAAATCGAACACCGAGTTCACATTGCTTTGCGAAGCAATTTTGGGCAGCCCTTTTCGGGTAGCAGTAACATCAGCCGAAAAGCTTTCTGCTGGGGAAAACTGCCTCGATTGTGAGCGAAGACTGTAGGGAGACGTCTGAGTAGACTCCTGCGATGGGGACAAGGCAGAACGAGTGCGTTTCCTAGGCGGTGAAACAGCTGAATGTGCAATAGAGGTCAAAGATCCCTCGGGTTTTGTATTGGACATGGGGACGGATGCTTCGCCTTTCTTTGGCGAGGCTGCAGTCTTTACTTCCGGCCTGGTACTCTTTGCAGGCGATTCTGGTAAAATATCCACGCTTCCTGGTTTCTGGTCGTCCTCAGGCGCCGTGGGATACTGTTGGCTCGCAGACTCAGTAGCTGCATGTGTGCTGTTTTCATGTCCCAAGTGAGTATTGAATTCATTTGACTGTGATATCGAGACCTCTTCTATTGACTCCACTTTGATGTCTGACTGGTGATTATGCCCAAGACCAGCTACCTGCTCATGTTCCTGGACGAATGATGAATGCTCCATTGGGAAAGCGTCTTGCAAGTAATCATCAGTAGCCTCGAAGATTGATCCAGATGGATGACCATCAGGAGACAAATCTTCCTCCATATGACGTGATACGACATCAGGTTCTGGTTCCTGAGATTGAGTGTGAGTGACTGTTTGCTCCACTGTCGTTTCAAGGGTCTGTGCATCTTCGGTCGAAAGATCCAGATTTACAAACTCACTATGACTATCAACATCCATGGTAGGGGACTGGTCCTGAGTAGTGGAGGTGCGCTGGCTAGGCTGAAGCTGCTGCTGTTCGTGGCTGGGCTCGACTTCGTTGTCGTCCATGGGAGGGCCCAGATCAACAATGGCTGATGTGGCTGTTGGATTTAGCTTGCCCGTGGCTAATTCTTGACGATCAATTTCCTCAAGGGCCCCACTCCTAGATTGCAGGTCCTCCGCTGTGCTGGAGCCTTCTTCAGGTTGTTCAGCAGAAATCGAATGCATCGGTTGTTCAGCTGTCACCGAGTCCATCTCTGTCTCACTCACACCATCTTCTTCGTCCTTGGATGAAAGTTTTACCACTTCCAGCTCGCCTGGTCCATCTATAGCGATTCGGGAGTCTGCGGTAGCCGAATCCTCTACAGCTTCATCTGGCTCGCTCTCGGGTATACTCTGGCGCAACCTGGACATGTCTTCTGCCTCGGTTTTCGAAGGTTGCTCTTCGATCAGTCGCGCTTCTGGTGGAGGCGACGATAGATCCAGCGGACGTGAGAAGCCAGCACCGTCCATACCAAATGTGAACCGTACAGGTGTGAAGGCTGACTCATGGTTTGGATGGAACACTGAAGCTCTCGATGAGCCTATTGAGCTGAAGAAGGACGTCTCACCGATGTAGCTTGCTTCGCTCGGTAAATCTTGCCCATCCTCAACCACAGCATCATCACCCAGCGGCTGCTCGCCAGTAGCAGTATGGCTGAAATAGGAAGTAGCAATTGCATCCTGGTCTCCTGGGAACGGTGATGGCATGGGGAGGTTGGAAGCGTCTTGTGGTACAAGCTTTGGGCTTGCAGGCTCTCGACCGATAGGGGTCAACAAGCCTGCAGTGACAGCTGGAAAGGTGGATGATGTGGGGGGAGGCATCGCTATCGCCAGCTCATTCTTGACATGACTGTGTGCACTTGCAACCGCCCCGATCTCGACTACGTTTTCTTCGACGCGCTCCAGTTGTACATGTTTTAGCTCGTCGGTGTCTGCTTCTGTGGCGCTCGTATCATGTGCATTGAGCTCGCCATGCGTAGCGCTTTCTTCTTCGGTATTGACTTCGGTGTCAATCTCAGTGTCGCCTCCAAAAGCATATTGTGCAGCTGACGCTGAATGCTCGTTGGGCCCAGCGTAGAGGTCGTAGTTGTCGGTGTCGGTTGGGGTATCAGGTTCGGTCGGTTCATCTTGGTGTGCCTGTAAGGGTCCGGCTGCAACCGACAGCATCTCTGGTTGTTGAGGCGAGACAGGAGTGCGAGGAAGCCGCCCTGTCCGACTGGGTGACGCTTCGGCCGACTCGAGCTCATCTTCCATAGTCACGTCTTCCTTCTCTGGCGACGGTGTCCTTGCGCTGTATGTCCAGGCCTTCCAATCCCGGTACGATTTCCTACGTCGCTTCTTGTCATGGCCCTCTTCCGTCTCATCCGCCAGAGGATCATAGGGCGCTTGGAAGGACGGACCGTCAGATAGTCGCGCCCGCTTGAGAAAGGCAGGAGAGGAGAATTGAAGCGCGGACGCTGGACTGGCTGTAGACGGCCGGCGAGCAGGCGATGCGGAGACTGGCGAAGGCGCGACATCGACGAGTTCGAGGCTTGCAGTTTCGACTCCGTTGCGGTAGACGCGCATCGTGACTGTGTGTACGTATGATAGCTCCCATTCGATGCTCCTGCCTGGGGTGCTAACGGCGCCTTCCTTGACGAACTCAGCGCCTCGTAGGCTCAGCACCACCTCATCTCCAATCCCCACACCTGTTGTCGCAACAGCCTTCGCGCTGGCTCCGGAGAAGCGCGCTCTGACCTGTCCGTTCTTGCGTCGTAATCGGACATCGGGCTCAGCAAGCAACAAGGCAAACTGTCGCGCTGATGACGAATACGGCCATATTAACGTTGCTGTCGCTCGGAAATGCTTCGATTCGATCGCGGGCAGCTCTGGACTGAGCTCCGAAATACGGGCTTGATCCATGGTGCGCAGTGAGAGCGCAGATACGCGTTATGGGGGCGACATCGCGCAGCGGAGCGATTCGTTTATGTTGGGAGGTGGGCAATGCGCTCACGAGTGTTGATGATTGATGTGGGAATAACGGCTCATTCCGTCATGCTTCTTCCAACGCGACATCCCTGCACTATTATGTCTGTTTCCGGCCACCTCGGCTGTTCCTGTACCGCATTCCTCATTCACCATCGCCAACCCTTGCATCTCATTCTGCATCTCTACCAATATCTAACAGACCCGCTTGTCGAAGCACTCCAGAGACTTGCATTACCACGAACTAGCGTCGATCGTGATTCAAAACTTTGCACTATACAGCATGGCAGCTTCTCACGGCAGCAGCAATAAAACTGGGTACAAAGCGTATATACGCGTATATTCTACAGAAGTGCGATATGATTAGAAAACAGGACCACGCTCCGCATATTAAGGAAGATCTAAGATATCCTTCAAGACCGCCAGTGCCCCAAACAAGTCGTTGTCGTGGTACCTTCTGGCGTTGACCTGGAGATTGATTGGCGCCCCCTCAAAATCTGATCTCTCCCACAGCTCTTTGGTATGCCTGCACTCATCGCTTAATGGTTTGTAGTCCGCGGCATAATTCTCCTTGTTCTTAGCTTTGATTGGTGTGGGTACAACAACCCCGGGGTAATCGACAAAGTTGTACAAGCTTGTATATGTCCAGTAGAACGCTGTGTCATGCGCAGAGGCAGGCCCAACAAACGCAGGGCCGATGACAATGTCGACTTCTTGCTCATTCCAGCTGTCGGCAAACTCATAACGGAACTTGTCGCGAGCGGCACGTAACTCGTTGACCTCTTCCGCATGCAGCATGCCGTGAGGTTCGGCGTCTTTCCATATCCAGTCGCTCAGCGGTAGGACTGGCTCGCCTGTTGACATGATATCCTCTTTCGCTAGTTTGCCGCCACCTGGCCAGTACATACGTCGGATCTGTTTCCATGCTTCTTGTGCCTTATAGGGCTTGAATGGCTTCACTTGGACAACATCCGAATGTTGAGGGTCGGAGAGACGCTCACGAGCCCATGTTATAGCGCGCTTTACTGGTGGCTGAGGATCAACGAAGCCGTCGTTCTCGATGACACCGATTCTCAATGGTTTCCTCGTCTTAGTCGTTAGTCCCGTCCAAGGAAGTGGCACTACCTTGGGATCCATCAAGTACGGTTTCTGACCCAAAACAGTCGTCATGAAAAGGTCCATGTCTCGCAAACTCCGGCAAAACGGACCAGTGCTATATGTAGGTAAATGAAGTCAGTGTATGTTTTACGTGCAATTCGTACAGGCGTACTTGCCTACACAAAATATTGAGTTCTGCAGAAAATGCATGTCCGAGGAAGTTTTTCATCGGCAACATGTAAGATGTCGACTTGTAACCATAGATGCCGCAGAAAGCGGCAGGGCCTCTAATACTGCCGCCAATGTCCGTGCCTACACCAAGAACTGAGCCTTTCATTGCAACAAGTGCAGCCTCGCCACCAGATGAGCCGCCTGCGCTGAGATCAATGTTGAAAGGGCACAGCGATCGACCGTAATGAGATGTCGTTTCCAGATGCATGATTGTTTGAGGCTGGTTGGTCTTGCAGTAGAATACCGCGCCCATACTTCTTAGCATTGACACCAACAGACAGTCTTTCTCGTCGAAGACGGTACTCGCCAAGGAGCCTTGTGATGAGTAGGTTCCAGCAATGGGCATATGTTCCTTGATGCTGATAGGAACTCCATGAAGAGGGCCGATCGTCTTTCCGTTCTTTTCTAGATACTTGTCCAGCTCTTGTGCCCTCTTGATCGCATCATCCATGAACCATTGAGTCAAGCAGCATGTCATTTGGTGTGCGATAATAGCACGTTTTGAAAATGCGGTGGCTACTTCGACTGCTGACAACTTGCGTGCGGCGATGGCTTCAGCAAGGCCTACTGCATCGTACTTTTCAGTGATGTTGATCTCGGCTGGTGTAAGTATGCCGCAGGTGATTGGTATTTGAGACACATCCTTTGGTGGATCGGCAGTAATTTTTGGAGATAGGCGTAGTTCAGGAGGCACTTTTGCCGCAAAGGCTTCGAGGATTGATGCTCGTTTCTTTTCGTAATCTGGTGTACCTTGGGGAACAGCCTTAGGCTGAACTATAGCTAGTTCGGAGGGATGAATTGCCATTATGATGTTGGGAGAATGATAGGGATATCAAACGCAGATGTGATCCAACGTCGTCAGTTTTGGGAACCATCACGGCGGTCTTATCTGCACATGCGCCGTTGTCGTCATTGTTGGGGCCAAGCCTAAGACAGAAACGTTCTTTCTTATAACTCCACGTAGCATCCCGTTGACTCCGTCCTCGGAAAGATTCCGGAACGACAATAGACAGCAGCAATCGTAGTGCGATAAAGCTGATAAGGGGGTGGTTGGTGTTGGAAGTGCGGAACCAATCCGACCAGCGGCCCTTAGCGCGTCATCCCACATGGTCCCGCTGCAGCTAGCGGACGACCCTTTACTGCATCCAGCTCCAACGACTCCAATTATCCGGTTATCTCCCAATGAGCGCACCGACTCCACTGCCTATCAAGCGAACGTTTCCCCGCGTTGGATTTGGTGTCACGGCTCCTGGTCCCTTCGCGTGGACTTGCTGTATTGCGGAAGCCGATGGGTATCTACGTAGACACGGAGATAGGCAGCTCTGAGCGGGACTCTTGAGTGGCCATCTCCATGGTTCACTATCGAACATCTTGAACAGAATGAGCTGCAGACGGGAAGGATGATGATAAGGAAGATGTGGGCTTTATAGAACGAGCTCCAAGTTGGAGTGACGCAGGGTACCTGGTAAGCCTACCGCTCCTGGGTCTATATGCATGCCACCCCACTCTTGTACTACGCTTTTGAGACAGCCGTTTTTTGGGACTTTATCATTCGTGACACATTCTTATCCATCGCCGAAACCCAGTGCGTAGCCACCGCGATGGCAATTGTGGCAGATTCGACCGAAATGGCTTCTGTGCCAGGTACTGTACATTTGGTCGATTTAGACCATAGTATACACGCTCGTCATGCTGGCAACGGAGACATCATCCTCGATCCAGCGCCCTCGAGTGACCCTGATGATCCGCTCAACTGGTCTCCACGCCGCAAGCTCACATCTTCATTATGTACCAATTTGTAAGTGTTCACTGCCACTTATCGAGGATACGGCTGATTCGATGCGAAGGTATACGTGGATGACAGGCATCGCGGTGTCTACTGTATACTCGGTGTTAGTACCATTATCTGAAGCATCAGGCGTCTCCGTATCAACTTTGAACGAAGGGACTGGATACATGTTCCTCTTTCTTGGTTGGGGACTGCTCTTTTGGCAACCTTTTGCGCTGCGATATGGGAAACGTCTTACGTTCCTGATATCAGTCGTTGGAGCCATTGGATGTAGTATTTGGAGGTATATCTCATGTCTGTGCAAGAACTTATTCATAAGCTGACCCCCATAGTGCGTATGTCAAAAGCAATGGCGAATGGATAGCCAGATGCATCGTTATGGGATTCTTTGTCGCACCAGTAGAAGCTCTTCCCGAAATCTCAGTAACCGACGTATACTTCACCCACCAGCGAGGAAAATATATGGGCTTCTACGCTTTCTCCCTAGCGGGAAGCAACTACTTTGCCCCTATCATCTCCGGCTTCATCGCAGAAGGTCAAGGCTGGCAATGGGTGTTCTATTGGCCGGCAATCTTCCTCGCCGTGACGTTAGTCCTCTTGTTTTTTTGCATGGAAGAGACAAACTATACGCGCAAGATCGAGGGGATACCTGTCGCTAGAGACTCTCCAGAGATGGAACCATCCAAGGTTTTGGACCAGGAGAAAGCCGACATAACGACGTCGCCGTCCACTATGAGCGATGACATGCGAGTGTCATCCAAGACTTTTGCTCAAAAGCTATCTCTATGGCAGACATCTCCAGGAGCGAACGTCTTCGAGCGTGCGAAGCGTAGTCTGATATACATTAGCTGGCCTGTTATCTTCTACTCAGGTTTCAGCTACGGTTCATACCTCATTTGGTTTAACGTCTTGAACGCTACTGCTTCCATCATTCTTGGTGGGCCAGGATACAACTTCAAGCCCTCCATGGTCGGTCTAAGTTATGTGTCTTGTTGCATCGGGGTCATTGCCGGGGCGCTGTTCTCTGGGCGCTTCAGCGACTGGCTAACGATCAAATTAGCGCGTAGGAACAATGGTGTCATGGAAGCGGAGCACCGTCTATGGCCTTTCGCAGTGTGCCTAGTAATGGTTCCGGCATTCTTGATACTCTGGGGTGTTGGCGCTGCGCATGGCGTACACTGGTTCGGACTCGTCTTTGCCATGGGATGTGTAGCGTTCACCTCTTCTGTCGGCGTCACAATCAGTGTGAACTACATGATCGATAGTTATCACGATATCAGTGGCGATGCGATTGTGACGGTCATCTTGATTCGCAACACCATGTCCTTCGCCATAAGTTACGGGCAAGTTCTCCAGTGCATCTGAAGGTTCGAAGCTAACGAGAGACAGTATTACTCCATGGCTGACAAACCTCGGGTATCAGAACTGCTTGTAAGTGTCTCTCTATAAACTGCATGTAAGACATACACTGACGTCATAAACCTATCTTCAGCATCTCTGCAGCTTTCGTTGGCATGGCTGCGTCCGCTGTCTTTCTTGTCATGATCAAGTACGGTAAGCGTTTGCGCATCAGAAGTGGTAACAAGTACTACAATATTGTGAACGCCGATAAGGCGGTGAGTTAGAGTCAGATCTTCGCAAACGCGCTTCATGTATCGTATACAAAGCCCAATAGCATAGTCACTTTCGCTGCAGTCGCCGGCATTGAATCTCGTTGGGCTCTAGGTTTCGCGTATTTCAGCGATAACAAAGGTGCTGAAGTGTAGCCGTATGCTTGGTACCGTCACCTCATGAATACACGTGATCTTGTCATTGAAATCTGGTTCATCAAGTCGTAACATTCATTAAATTTACAGGATGGCCTTCTATAGCACTAGCAGCACGAAAAGAGCTATGCCACTAAGCAGACCAGCCGTCCCGTATGGTACACTGACTTCGCCAGCTGCACCAGTGAAAGGCTGTGGTGTACCGGTTGGCATGGCACCAGTGCCCGACGCGCCCGCAGCACCAGCAGTTCCACTGGCGGTTGCAGCTATCCTTCCGTCTACACGAAAGAAGTTTCCTGCGACTGGCGCGCTCACGCCATTCTTCGACATAAACGATTCGATATCGAAACCTATCCGAGCTTGTGCTCCAGCGAATGCCGACGCCTGAATGTTGAGACTGGCGGGTTGCTGGAAAAGCAGCTGTACGTATCGATGCGCGACTGTATCGGTCGCTGGAGGACCTGGAGGAATATACGCTGCTGGGCCCTTTTCTGATGACGCGAGCAGAGTGGCAGCGCCCATAAGTTGTTGCTTTGTTGCCTTGAATCCGGTGTTCATGCAGTGTAATAACACACGTCGCTCGGTGCTCCCGTTCGCTGGTGGGACATCAAGGTCGAGCATCACAAACATGTATGTTTGGCTTGAGTCGATCATAGCGCTGGATAATGCAAGTTGTGGTTGTGTTGCGACAGCTAAACAGGTCAGGAATGATGTCTTGACTAATCGACTCAGCTCGAAACTCACAAGCTTTTGCTAATTGCTGTCCTGCCGTGTTGACCATAGTCGAGTTGAAGATGACTTCGAGTTTGGTGGCGGCCTGTGGCGTAAAGCCAGATGGGACCTGCGCCTGCGCAAGACTGACCAATCCGGCTACGAGTACTGATGTGGAGAAATACATGACGGGTGATTATTGTTTACAAACGAGGATTCGCAGAGGTATGAATGTAAAATGGGGATAACAGTGGATTATAGAGGCGGCCCGAAGTGAGGCTATCAGCCTACATATACCATGTTCATTGAAGTACGCGTCTCCCAGGCATAGTTCCTGAAGCCGTAGCATAGTCTGTCGCAGTCCGCTTAGCGCTGATTGTAGATATCGTGCTTACGTAGGGTGTTCCGCATGTGTATGAAACGGGTACTGCGTGAGAGCTCAGCTGTCACAGCTTGGCAACAACCATGTCCACAATGCCTAAAGCAAAACCAGGATTGTAAGTTTTGGTTTACCACCTAAATTTTTTATTATTGGGAATTACGCCTGAAGGCAACGAGAGTAGCGGCAAGAACGCCCTCAGTCTGATCAGTATATGTCAATCGTGTGCCATGACCTCTCTTCGTCGATTGTCGTCGGCTCTCCAAAGCGCGTCCGAATAGCGCCTTGTGCGAGTACCGTCCAGGATTATAGCGAATCAGGATCAAGTGTGCACGTCGTGAGAGCAATCTGTAGCCTTAGATCGCGCGTCGAGTCACGGACAGAGTACCGGTGATGGTGACGCAGTGAGATTCTTCTGCAGAGCTGTCAACGTTTCGCCAAGGTGTCAACCTCCGAGAATGGAGCGAAGAGACGGACGTAGACGTGTCTGGGAAGCTTCTCAGATTCAGTGGATCACAACGGCGATCCCAGACAGGATGTGACGTAGCATTGATGAGTGGAGAAGAAGCAGCCTCATGTAGCAGAAGCAGTGGGGGGCTTGCAAAACACGCTAGAAACGTCACACGTGAACACGCGTAAAAGACAGTCTGTGCTCCAGCTCATTAGCGTCGATCGCCACATTGCATGGATGCCGCGCGATTAACCATCTCATATGCCTTCAACCATTGCTTGTCGATGATTAGGTCTAGACGGTATCTTTATTGGAACTGCATATCTTTAATGGCAAGCTCCACCCATGATGTTGCACCTTCAGAGGTCACCATCGAAACACCAAAGGTGCATTGGCCACTCTCGTACCGCATACAACCACAACAGCCCAAAGCCTCGTCGCTTCAGTCTTATGGCTTCTCGTCTACTCAAGCTGCACCCAAACCATGGTGGAATCATCGTCTCTACCGAGGCCCTGGAGGCAAAGAAGTCGAGATCCTGTATAGCAAGACCAAAGCGCAATCCGAAACATACGCGAAGCAATTTCTTGATGAGCCAGTCATCGGATTTGATATGGAGTGGCCATGGAATGATTGGAAAAAAGATAATTTGCAAAACAAGATTGGATTGATTCAAATTGCGTCCGAGGACAAAATCGCGCTATTTCATATTGGCTTGCATCCAGGGAAGACGAGTGAAGAGATTATCGCGCCGACACTGAAACGCATTCTCGAGGACCCTAAGATTGGCAAAGTTGGTGTAAGAAACATCCCTGTACGAACTGCATATGAGACATACACTGACTTCATACACGTACCTTTAGGTAAATGTGTTGAAGGCGGACTTCTCGAGGTTGAGCCGTTTCTTTGGACTCAAACCAAAAGGTGCTGTCGAATCGAGCCATCTATACCGTCTTGTGAAGTTTGGCCCTAGGAAACCAGAGTTGGTATCTGTCAAGCTCGTGAGCTTAGCGCACCAAGTTGAAGAGCAGCTCGGTCTGCCCCTGTACAAGGGCGATGTGCGCACGAGTAATTGGAGCAAACCACTGTCAACGGATCAGATCAACTATGCAGCTGGCGATGCATACGCAGGCTTCATGCTCTACAAGTGTATGAATGCAAAGAGGCTTGCCATGAAACCCACGCCGCCATTACCGATCCATGCGGAGAAATATCCGAGTGGCAAGGCATCGAGAGACGACCCAATAATTTTGGATGTCGGAGACGGTACAACTATCACAACAGAAGCTTTCTTCGGCGTCAAACCTGCAAAGAGCGGTGTATCAGGGACTAGCTCTAAAGCACCGAAGAAGATAAAGACTACAAAAAGCAGTGCACAGCCTCTGAATGATCTTACCCAAGCATTATACGAAGAATTAGCTACTCGTCGGGCGTCTCTAGCCGAAACTAGAAAGTTGCAGCCACACCGCATCATCCCTGATACTTTACTGGAATCAATTGCGCGTGCACAGCCTTGCGATACCGAAGGCTTGCTTGCAATAAAGGGCATTGGAAAGATCCAACAGGCAAAGTTCGGCGATGAATGGCTTGAGGTCATCTCACTATTCCTAGCGACAAACGGTATCGAGCCATCAGCCAAAGTCGCAAAGCCGTTACCGTCCAAGTCTGAAAACCAGCCGCCACAAACACCTCACCGCTCGAAGACACGACGGAAAGATATCAGTGATAGCTCTTCAGATTCCTCTCCAGCTTTCGACACTGCACTTACTAGATCACCTCAACTACATACTGGCCTATCTTTTGGAATGGCAGAAACAAAAATTGACGTAGACAACGGCAACAGATCCGATGAAAGCACATCATCCTACGACTCGGATGATACACTTCCATCTCTTGACTTTGGCAGTCCGAGCCGAAGGCGCATAAGCTCCGGTACAAAACGCAAACGCGCCGAGAGTCCAGTAAAATGCGAGATGGAGCAGACACCTCAGCCGTTGCAAACACCTTCAAAGCCGAAAGTGGATCTAACACAGCAACCGACGTTAAACCACGACCTTGCCATTGCGAGCACAGAGGCATCTTCAACGCGAAGCACATCACTATCTCCTGGCTCACGGATCGCTCGTTCAAAGCTCCTGGCCTTGAGCAAACTTGTCATGCGAAAGCTGCCTGCAAGACCTGCTATCGCCCCACCTATCGTAACGGAGCACACACTAGACATGATTATTAGAGCAAGACCGCAGACACAAGAAGATCTGGAACGTATTCCAGGAATAGAGACATTTGTTTTGAGTTGTCAGGAGACGGGGACGAATTTGCTGAAGAACATAGTCAAGTTTGTGCCACCTCGGCCACCATGAGAGGTTGTCGGTTAACACGATGAAATGCAACGAGATGAAACAATGAGATGGAGCTTCGTGATGTACTGACAAGATGACATTTTTAGTAGACTTTCTACCCCAACGTCTATTTTAGCAAGAACGCTAATGTTCAGAGTATTGACAGAATGAAAGCGATACAATGATCTCGTAAACTTATGCCCACATAGCTCTGAACTTGGTGTCAAAGTCTTCCTTTAGAGCTTTGAACGCCTTTAGTACGTTCAACAAGCCCTCGCCTTCTTCCCAAGCCGGCGGCTCCTTCTTCTCGTCATCATCCTCAGCGTCCCAACTCTCTTCGACTTCAGATTCGCTGGAGGAGCTACCCATCTCATCCTCCCACGACTCTTCGACCTTCTTCTTGAGCTTCTTCTTGGGCTGGATCGTCAACTCCTGCTTGACGGGACCCTTGTTTGACGAAGCAGTCGTGGCTGCGCTGGCCTCTGTCGCGGTGTCGCTTGGTAACATCTTGTCTTCCCTGTTCTCTTCTTCATCGTCACCACCACCACGGACGTCGATGAAGTCGAGATCAGACTCTGTTGCCAGACCCAAGAAGCTCGACAAACTCGTAGTGATAGTAGCGAGTGTCATACTCAGATCGTTCAAGACGAACCATACATCTCCACGACGAATCTTGTTGGCCGTGATAAGAGCGTTGACGTCACCGTGCTGGAAGAAATCGTACAGATAAGCATTCAACGGGAGATCAGAGTCTTCAGGGTAAAGACCGACGTGGGGTACGACAGCTTCTTCGAGGAAGACACCAGAACGACTAGTACTGCACAGATCGTGGATAGACTCGAACTTGTCGTCGTACCCTGAAAGAGCAACGAATGTAGAACGAGCCTTCACGTTCTGGTCCCGAGCCTTCTCAGATTTTGAGGAGGCATCGCCACCAACCGTAACATCTGTCAATGGCAGAGTGTTGTCCGGCTCTTGAACATGTTGGTCGACAAAAGTGCGCACGTAAGCTGTGAAGATATCGAGGGTAGTCTTGTTGTGACGGCGCAATACGTTCGCAGCGTGCTCTGGCATTGAAGGTAGAAACACAAGCGAGGGGCTCTTCTTGACTATCTCGCGTACGTACTCTTCATCAGCCTGTCGACAATGACGCCGACCGAACAGGTGCGACATCGTGAGCATGAGTTCGCGTAGAACTGCCTCTTTGTTCGTGTCAATCTTGGCGCAAAGCTCGTGGAAGTATCCGTCCTTTAGCAGCGCGTGGAAAGCAAAGGATGAATTTTCTGTGAAGTAGAGATGCGACACGGCACCTGCGAAATTCAAAGGTACACCCTGAGCGTCCAAAAGATGTTGTCTCCGAAGATATTCGATCGAGAAGCGCAAATGATGTAGGACTGTCATCTTCGCGTCCTCTCCGCCAAGGTAGAGTCGTGGCTGTGAGAGCAAGGAATTGACGCAGCGGACGGCGAATGGCGCATTCTCAGACGAGTTCAGCAGTGTAAACAAACGCAGTACCAGAGTTGTCGTGATGGGGAAGTGTCCGTTGAGATCAGGTAGCCTGGAGCTGATGAGTTTATGTATCTTGCTCAGAGACACTCCATGGAAAACGACATTTCCAAGCATGTCGAAGCCTCGACGACCGGCACGACCAGCGGCCTGACGGAAGTTTAGTGCTGTCAAGAAGACCGAGTCTCCCGAAAAGACCACAGTCTTACAAGGCATGTTGATACCGAGCGCAAGTGTGCCGGTCGCAATCACCACACGCAGATATCCCTTTCGGAACAACATCTCGACGCAATACCTGTACTTTCGGTTCATACCAGCATGATGAACGCCGATACCACGCATGAGACCATCGATAAGCCATTCCTCAACTCCGCGGTAACGTAGCTCTTTTGCGTGTACAGCGAACTCTTCTTGTGACAGCTTCTTGTGGTCTGCGAAGTGGAATCCATCGAGAGGTTTGTTTGGATCAAATGAGGCAAAGGCGCTAACTTCAACGTTGGCAGCCTCTTTCATTTGATCCTGCTTGGTCATGCCCTTGGAGGCGTCTCCACGAAGACCTTGCTTCTCTCGTCTCGCGACCTCTTTTTTCCAGTCCTCCCACTGTTGCAACTTGATCTTCCATTTTGGGCTTGTCTCCTTCCAGGCGACCTCAGCATCTACGAGTTGCTTCATAAGCGTTTGGCACATTTTCTCGCAGATCGCACGATCATAGTTGAAGATAATACCCGGAAGTGCATCTTGCTGTTGTAGATCAGCGAGTAGAGGAAGTATGCTGGAGATATCGTGACTGATTTCCATGCCCAGTTCATCCAGCTGCCCCTCGTTGTCTGCACCGTCGTCTGTGGCATCCTCACTCGTCTGATGCTCTTGTAAGCCAGACAATGACTTGCTGAGATCCTTGCGGACTTCAGCAAAAGGCGACTTATCGTCCGCCATCCAAGCAGTTAGAAGCTTCTTGAGGCCAGCCTGCCAGTTGATTATGTCCGCCTTCTTGATAACTGTAGGCAGGATTGAGGAGGGATCCAGAGACTTATCCACCGGGTATTCGGCTGTCTGGTAATTGGTCATGCTCTGCCATAGGGTAAGGCAGTCTCGTGCTTCGAGAGACAGATCGCTGGGCAGTCCGCGAGTGCGATTGATCAAACTAGCTACAGGATGAAGGAAGGCGAAGTCCGTGTGCTCGTCTAAACCAAGCTGCGCAAACGAACGGTTGCTCGGAAGCGGCAGGTAGCTGGCTGCATTGCGTTTGGCGGGTGGGGTATACACAAACTTTCGAAGGTCAGAATACCTGTGCGGATGTTGCACCATGACTAATTCGTTCCCAGCAGCTTTTTGTGTGGCTGACAGCCAGTCGTTGAAAGATTCTGCATTGCCGATAGTAGCAGAGAGAGCGATGATAGGGCAAGGAGCCATGAGGAGCAGTTGCTCCCAGATTAGACCGTCTTCGGCCTGACCAATGCAGTGGACTTCATCGAAGATAATCCACTTGACCCTCTCGGACCAACTTTTTGCGTTACTGGGGGCCAGCAACATGATTTGCAAGATATGGGGAACTGTCACAAGAATTTGGCATCCAGTGGGGTTGTTAATCCTGTAGTCTCGAGTATGAATACCCCATACGGACTGACTGTACTTGTAGTTCTTTGAAAATCGTGCCTGGATCTCTGCAGCGATTTGGTTGACTAAAGCTTTGGTGGGAGCAACGTATACAAGAACGTCGTCGTTGTTTGCTTCCAAGACTTGCTTCATGGCGTAGAACGAGATGAATGTCTTACCCGCTGAAGTCGGCGCGATGACAAGCAGACTGCGACGTGCATCAATCTCGTCTAGCACACGTCGCTGCCACGCATCTGGCTCGAAGGGTACACGGGAGTCTGGTGCCGAATCGATTGTACGGTCGAAGTATGGTCCACAATGAAGAAGCTGGAACTCCTCTGGGGAAAGGGTCAAGGCCAAGTCCGATACGACAGTCTCGTCCAAGACAAACTTGAAAGGCAACTTCCGGTCGCCTTGTTCTGCTGGAACTTGTAGCGTTGGTAGCTTCAAGCGCTCCACTGTTATAGAAAGGCACTTCGCAATCGTCTTGCTCACAGTTGGGTAATTGCAAAGAGTTCGTGCAGTGTCGAACAAAAGTGCGGCGACGTATAGGCCCTTCTCTTTGGCACCGTCGCGGCAGAAACGTACCCACATCTCCAAAAGAACGTTCAGCATGTACATGCGAACGTCTGGACCAATTACTTGACGCTGAGCCTCATTGCGGTCGGCCAGATATTGCCTGGCTTTGTTGTATCTTGAGGCCAAGTCAACTTGCTTCTCGAGGCCTGCGCATGAGACTGTCCAGGCTTGATACCATTGTTTCGCATTCTCTTCGTCTTTGCGCTTGGAGCTGGCGGCGATGTTGGCAAGCATTGCCTCTTTCGATGCGTTGATATTCTTGGTGCTCTGTCTTGACACTTGCTTCGGCCGCTTGTTCTCGACTGCCTGGGTTGGCGTCATGGATTTCACCTGGCCTGCTTTTGACTTGTCGCCGAGCGTAATAGTCTCTGGATCTAGTACTTTGCCAACAGCATTCGTCAGGCTGGCGGCATACGACGTCATCTCAGCCATGAAGAACTGGTTTCGCCGGAGAGCCTTCTTTGCTATCTTGGGGTCTTTTTCGACGACAACCTTTGCTTTTTGGTTTAGTGACCTCTGATTATGCCAATGCGTGACCTCGCGGAAGATGTTAGCAGTAGTGGTATCTGCCTTACCCCCTGACTTCGATACGTCTAGTTTGATTGGGGACAAATGTGGGTCGAAAATGCTATTCGAGAAAGGTAGAACCTTGTACGCAGAAACCTCCTCATCATTACCGTTGGCTGCAGTAGAGTCGTCACTCGCTGCTGAAGAAGCTTTTGGCTGAGACGGGAGATCATGAGCATCCAAAGCTGCTGTGGCCTTGAGCAGGGTCTGTAGGTGTTCGCTAGGTTCCGTTGTGGGGTTGCGGGCACATGACGCGAGAAGCCGTCCGTCGATGAGATCTGCAAGATCGCAATCTGGATGGCCCTTGAAGGCCTCTGCCCATGCCGGACTACCAATGAACTTGCGTGCCTCGCAACAGAAATCCAAGATGAAAGACTTGACCTCATCCGGAATTTCACAATGCTTGATGATACGATCAGACAGAGGAAGCTCTGAAAGTAATGCTGCATGTTGCAACAACACGGACGAGAGGTCAGCATTCGAAGCTGCCAGTTTCGAAGCTACTAATACTGTCAAGTATTCGCGCTCAGTCAGAAGTTGATCGCAAGACGTCCTGATGGTCTGCAAGAAGCCGCGCATATGCGATAGATCGACAACATCAGTCAATCTTTTGTTTGTATGAGGTTCCTAAACGAGATGATCAGCAAAGAAACATGGCAAAGGTAGCACCATCCGGAGGATATTAATAGTGCTGCAGGCCACTTACGGCTGATGAGACATCAAGTGTCATTGAACGAGCATGCTCGAGAACAGTGGTAATGACCTTGGTGTCGGCCCACTCCAATCCGTTTACCAGCGCAGCACTGTACCCCCGCTGCATCATGCTATATATGAATGTGCGGAAAGAAGTCTTGTAATCTTGCTGCCGCTGCTGCTTATCGCGGTCTTCGCCCTGGAGTGAGTCGAGGTCCTTTTGTAGGATCAATCTCTTACGGATATCAGTGAACGAGGCTCCATCATGACACAAGACGAAGTAAATGTCTGTGGCACGTAGGTACTCCGCAAACGCTTCTGAGGATATTGATGGGAAGGCATTGATCTCAATCTCCGGGACAACGTCTGGTAAATTGACCTTGAGATGACGAATGATAGCTGCTCGTGCAAGCAGGTATTTTTCGCTGATTTCTGGTGATGCATCCTGGGGTACGCAAAGATCTTGATGTTCGTCGAAGAAAGCAATGTGGAAATTGCAGGCTCGAGAAACGAGGCCTTGTAGGAACTTCTCAACAGCGTATGACGCGTGCAGTAATTGATATCCAGGATCGAAATCGATGTGTGGGTCGCTAAAGCACTGAAGCAAGAGTGATTCGCCGTGTACGAGGAACCGCTCACTACCTGCGAAGTCGCCAACCAGGTCGACCCGGCGGCTGTAGAGATTTGAGTACCATTGGAGGATTTGCTCCTCAGTACCCTGGTTGTTGGCAGCCATGCTGGGTGGTCTGCAAGAGGGTGAAGGATGGGCGGTGGTCAGAGGGGTGGTGAAAGAATGTTTGTCCCCTCAATCGTCTAGATAGTGGGAGGTGCCTGTAAGTGGGTAGCCGCTGGTGGCGGATAGTGGGACTGTCGATCCTGTGCCAAGTCCCAGAAGAGCTTTGCGGTTTAGCTCGAATGACTGATGTTTCTTCTGCCTCGGTTGGTGTCTGACGCAACCGGTGAAAGAGATGTAAGATTGATAAACTGTTGAATGTAAACACGTACGTCGGATGTGATGTACGTACTGTCAACTGGAGTCGAGTGGAGCCAGAGGTCTGGATTCTGCGGATTTGGAAAAGCCGAAAAGCCTGACGCGACTAGTGCGCGCTAATGGGGGGGTAAGCGAGCCGGAAGGTAGCACCAGCGTCAATAACCCGCGGTTGTCGCTATCGGGACCTAAGTCTGGACAGTAGACTGGGTGGAGCCTGAATGTACGCGTGTAGTCCATTGTATCTCGACTGTAACACACTGCGCTGTAGTCGTTGCAGTGTCTTGCCAACATAACGGCAAGTGGTACATCACAGCTGTGTGCAGAAAAACAAAGACTTATCAAAACTAGCGTGACTTTTGCTTCGGAGGAAACAGGCTCGTGAGGACTGTATCTGCAATGGCCATACAAGTCGAGAGTTTTGCGCCTATACATGCATATTGTTTCAAGACATGCAGCAGCCTGCAAGGAGCATCCGAACGCCTCCATGACGCTGCGTAGACTGACCGGCATACATTCGAATAAGCTACGGCACCTTGTTTGCTTCGAAGCCCATCGCATGTGAAGAGAAATGCTCGACTGAACACATACATGGGTATGCAAGACCAGAACACTTGGAGAAGACAAGCTGAGATCGTGCCGATCCAATGTAACATGGTGGGTGCTGTACAGATAAAAGCAAGTCTTGCTTCTGTTCAAGTGAGGTCAGACGCTGCCGAATTCCGTGTAGAGTTATGTACTCACCAGAACTACCCCACTACCCCAGAATTCAGATCTCTAGTGGAGCAAGGAATTCGAGCTTGGCATATGGTTAGCTATATCTGGCATGTCTTACAATCTAGCTTACCGAGACGAGACGGTTCCAGTGCGCTGGACTAGGTGGGGGCTGGGGTGGAGGAGAAGGCGGATCGTCTCTTGAGCGATCTTGCGTCGGTGTAGACATGGATGAGCTTGTTAGGACATGAGCAGAGCGTGAATTGACAAGCTCGAAGACGTTATCCACCGAGGGACCCATAGTGATGCCCATGGTAGCTGTGTGGTGATTTTGGAAGATGGTTGAAAAGTAGTAGTATCGCGGAATGAAGAGTGAGGATTCAAATATGGTAGTCTAGGAACTATCTTGCTGAGAGAGTGAGGACTTTTGTGGAGGACAAAACACTAACGCAGTCTCGACATTAAATAGTCTAGGACAAGGTTTTGCTACACTCCCAATCGAACACCACAAGGGCTCGTCTAGTGGCTTACAGGGGCGAATGTCTAGTTGGCAGATCCAAAGAGCCAGGCAAAAGACAATCAGAATCGCAGCGGCCCGTCCGCGGATAGACGGGTGGCGTCAGGAAGGACTAAGTCTAAATTGTCATGCTGGAATGAGATGCTGGTTTGGTAGACAGGGAGTACAAGCGGCGAATGAGTGCCTTGGCCGAGCAGGAGAAGGCAGGAGTTGAGTGTGGAAGACGACATTTTGAACGGCGGTAAACAACGTGTCGACGGGTGAGAGCACGGCGAGCGACAGTCGACTGATTGTGTGACAACGGAGGACAGGGTTGAGTACTGCTTGCGATTCATCAGGCGTCGGGGAAGACGATCCGGAGCCGCACGAGTTGTCGTGCAAGGTGCCTGGGGGAGATTGCTTTCCCTCAAGAAGTAGGGTTTTGAAATGGCGGTCTACAAGCCATGATGTCAGCATGGATACGCGAGTACTTCCATTCGACCCAAGGCTTGACTAGACGCCTCGTATTTCAGCTACCACAAACTTCTGTTGGTTCGTAGAGCTGCGTGCTTTCCCGTGCTTGGACTTGGAAACGATCAGCAGGTGACGAGGCTGCGATGTTTGTCTATTCTCTCGAGTGAAGCAAACGGCTGGCCAGTCAACATGGCCTCACTGCAGAGTGTTGATCAAGAGGTGCCAACGTGGATAGACGCAGCTTCGGAGGAGTCGTCTATCGGTGTGAAGGTCAAGCTGAGGGTGACGACAGGACAGGCAGGCGCGCTCGGACACGATGGCGCGCGCGCCAAGCCCAACGCGAGCCCTGGAGCACCGCGACTTCCTTTGTGGTAGACTCACTCTGTCTGCGCCAATCCAGCCCTGCCTCGGCCGTGTAATTCACCAGCTGTTGCCTGTACCAGCCCATCCAACACATACGCCAGAGCCAAAAGCGACAGACGCCGCAACTCCGCGACACGGCCCACCACTTTCGCATGCGCGCGTCCGGAATGTGCTTCACTGGGTCGTAGGGCTAGCAATCACATCCGCCGTCTCTGCGTCACCCGGCTGGTGATACCCTCGCCGCCCTCCCATCGGCCCTCTTCGCCCATTCCGCTTCATTAGACTCAGCGCGCCCGCAGTCCGACAGCCCCACCGGCTCCAGCTCACAACTCGCACATCGCACTGCGCCCCGCCAACATGTCTTCGGTCTGGAACCCCGACAATGTACGAGACGTGGCCGAATCTGTGGGCATCGCCTCACTCGCCGACAATGTGGTAGAAGAGCTGGCACGCGACGTTGACTTCCGTTTGGCCCAAGTGCTGGAGGAAGCTCTCAAGTTCATGCGACACGGGAAGCGGACGACACTGAGCACACAGGACATATCCAATGCCTTGAAGGTGCTCAATGTGGAGCCTCTCTACGGCTACGAATCTACCCGTCCGCTGCGCTTCGGCGAGGCTTCGCTGGGCCCTGGCCAGCCTTTGTACTATGTCGAGGATGAAGAAGTCGATTTCGAGAAGCTCATCAACGCCCCACTGCCCAAGGTCCCACGAGAGATCACCTTCACCGCACACTGGCTCGCTGTGGAAGGTGTTCAGCCTTCAATACCTCAGAACCCAAACACAAATACAGGCGATCTCCTGCCCAAGGGCCCCAACGCAAATCCACATCTGGCTGCTGCCAATGGCCTGGACAACGTCAACGTCAAGCCGCTGGTCAAACACGTCTTGTCCAAAGAATCCCAAGAGCTGTTCAACAAGCTTTCAGGCGCCCTCATCGACGAAACCAACATCGAGTGGCAGAATGCAGCACTCGCAGCCATCTCGACAGAGCCTGGCATCCACCAGTTGACAACATACCTGCTCAGCTTTATAGCCGAAAAGGTCACACACAACATGAAAAACCTATTCATATTGACGCAGATGATGCGCGCTGCAGAGGCCTTGCTGAAGAACCAGGCCATCTACCTCGATCCGTACGTCGCATATATGGTACCACCCATCCTAACATGCTGCACTGGCGGCAAAGTAGGACCAGCAAACCCAGCACCATCCAACGCTTCTTCGGAAACACTCAACGGGGTTATGCCCGACCACAACCGCGCTACCCAAGATGCCTTCTATCTGCGAACTCTTGCAGCGCATCTACTCAAAGATATCTGTAGGAAGCACGCGTCGTCGAATCAAGGACTCAAGTCACGGATTGCGCGCACCTGTCTCAAGCAATTCATGGACCCCGACAAGTCGGTTGGGACGCACTTTGGTGCACTACAAGCACTCCTCTTGGTCCTGGGTGCCGGCGACGCACTAAGGGGGCTCATCTTACCCAACATTAAGATGTACAATGATGACTTCCTTTCTAAAAAGCTCGCCGACGAAAGTACAAGGCACGACGCCGAGATTCTTCTTGCAGTGCTTGTGGGCTCCTTCCCAGCTCTGGTACCCAAGAGCATGAGAGAGAAGAAACAGAGAGAGCAACAGCAAGGAACATACAACGCGCCAGATCTCGATGACCTCCGGGAACAACTGGTCAACAAGGTCGGCAATCTTGTAGCTGCGCATATGATTCAGAAGGGAATGGACCTGGAGGTACAGGAGATTTTGCGGAAGGACTTTGATATTTGAGATATTTAGGACACAACAATATCGGGCATTGCTACTGGCGTTTAGGATAGGGTGCTCGCTTGGATGATACCATTTGCCCCGAGACAAAGCGTTCACGAGGGCTTGAATTCAACCCGCCATCTTCATCAAAGCATCGTTCATATGTTCAAGCATCTTTACTGCGCATCCAGATTCTCGTCGTTCTACATCTACTGACTACATGACGCATCCCTTATGCGACACTCACCCCTCTCTCTCTCCCCTGCCTTGTGTAAGGCAACAATAGCGACTCATCACCACCATCGTCGTCCGTCCATCTCCCTATCTGCGCAGCAACAGCACTAACAGCGCCATCTACAAACCCTACGCCTTCATCGATCCAACTCTTGCTCTTCTCAACTAGACCACTTCCAGTAAATGAAGGATTAAAGTCAGACTGTGGCTGCCTCCGACCCGTCAGAGGTGCTGTGCCCGCTTCCAAGGCTTCTATATCAGCAATATCAAGCTCAAACGTCTCACTGCTATGGTCGTTGGTGCGACTCGGCGCCGGAGATACTGATCTTGACACTGGGGTTGAAGTCGCAGTCTTGGTGGCGAAGAAGGCTGCTCGTTCAGTTTTCCACTCCGAAGAAGTACGCTTTACTAGTACGCCGCCTGTACCTGGTTGAAGGGGGCCGTTGGGAGATGGATCTAGGAAAGGATTCACTGGCGATGAGGCCACGGACGGAGTCGGAGAGTGCCGAGCGCGGACTGTTGGAGTAGGCGGATGGTTGGATCGTGGGTTTGCTGATGGTGGGGAGGGTATGCGGCGATGAAAAGTGTGTGTGCGATCTCGAGCTTCGGTGTGAATTGGCTGGCTCCGCGGACGGTTGAACTGAGATGTCCTGTTTCGGGGTCTGTACTTCATCTCAATGTTCTCACCAATATGCCCGTTGTTTCCCAAATACGAGAATGGGACCTGGGCTGCCGACGTGACAGCGCTATCACTGTCCATGTCCATATTCGTTGTCGTGTCAACCCATGTCTCGTCGCTACCGCCATGTCGATGCGCGTACTTGCTCACTTTGTCAATCGGTCTCTTCTCTTCACCCATGCTCTTTGCTCTCCTCTTCCTGGTTGTTTTTCCCTTGTTTGTTATACTCCTCATGTCCATCCACGCATTAACCACCCAAACCATAACTGCCCACACGACTCCTAGTACCATGATAGCCAGCGTACCAACGAAGAGTAACTTGTAGCCTGTGGGTAGGTACGACAGTTCGTAGTCCATTCGGCTCATAATGTCCGAATGATACGGGCTCTTGTTGTGCCGAACAGAATCTTGATATTGCAGTGGATTCGAGGTTTGTGCTGATATAGCTGTATGCGGTACGATCTCTTCTGGATAGAGAAATCCCGGAGGCGAGATGCGGGGGTATTTCGAGTGGCGGGGTGGTGGAGGTGCAGATGTCAGTAGCATCATCGGTACTGTTGACGTTACGTCATGGGAAGGTCGAAGTGAATGGGGACTTGAGGGTGAAGCGTTGTCAACATGTAGTGCGTAGCGTATACCAGGTATAATACCTTGTATTTGAGGGATAAGAAAGTGGCGGGTAACGTGCACGTCAGGTGTGGCAGATGGCCAGTTGAAGGCTGAACTACTGCGGTACGAGTCTGTTGTCTTGGACGGCGATGACTCCTTCGCTGCGCCATTGGTAGTATCCAAGGTATCATCCGCAGTTGCAGCCTCACTCCCATGTTGCTTGCGTATTGTGGTAGTGACAGTATGTACTTTTCTGCGATCTTGCGCCGCCGGTGCCATGATACGATAGAATGTAGGTTGCAGATAGGTGCACTACTAAGAAAGAATGTAGATGAAATTGTGCGGCTAATTGTAACGATGCAAAGAGCAGGTAGCTAAGATCACGAGAGAGTTTACAAGACGGGCAGCAGCCATGGAAACAATGCAGAACAATGTCTCAAAGGGAGTTTCTAGAATGAGCAGTCGTGAAGCAGAAATGTCATACATCAACGATTCAACAAAGAAAATTGATCCATAGAGTGGCATAACAACAGCATCAGTTCACAAGTCATAGATTTTTGAAACACGAATATGCGGTGACGTTGTAATAAAAGACTAGGATTATGTATGTACTATGTGAAGATGTCGCGCAGGTGGAGTGCTGGTAGGAAAGCAAACGCCGCCCAATGGGATATCCAAAATGTAAATCTATGAT